GGAGAGGCCTGGTGGCTGCAAGGAAACCACATTTGGACAGGGTGGCTTCTTGGACATGTTTATGTAAAGGCCGGGTGTGACTCTTGTCACTGAAATGGAAAAAAGAAACACGAAGTTTTCAATCCCATCCTCCTGCTTCACCCTCTCTCTGCCCCCCTTCTGAGTACCTCTGCTTTTCCTGCTCCTCTGTGACGCACACAGCACTGCTTCTGCCACTGTGGAAGGGTCTGGGAATGGAATTCGCTCACTAGGCAGATTGCTCAGAACAGGTTTTCCTCACCTTTACTGCCTGGGCCCTCATGTAAGGGTGTGTGTGTGTGCGTGCCTGCGCACTGCAGTGTGCTGCACCTGGCCTGGCTGGGGGAGGGGTTGGTTATGTAGGGGGATGGGGCTGAGTGAGCCCTGGCTCCCCGTCTATAAAATGGGGCTAATTCCCTGCCTATCTTCCAACAGGGGTGCAAGTGGCGCCTGGAGTACATACCTGGAAATTAGGTACAGATTGGGGGGCCGTGCCTGTGCCAGCCACTGCGGATCCCCTTCTCAGGGCCTGGCTTATAACAATAGCAGTAAACCCTTACTGAGCCCGTACAGCGTACCAGGCACTGTTCTCGGTGCGTTTTATATATATATGATCATTCATTTACTCTCTATAGCATGCCGTGGAAGTAGGTGTTCTAATCATCTCCCTTTTTCAGATGAGACAGCTGAGGCCCAGAGAAGTTGTTAAGTAATCTGCCCAAAGCCACTTAGCTGGGAAGAGGTAAAGCTGGATTTGAACCCCGGCAGTCAGGCTCTAGATCCTGTGCTCTCTGACGCTGTTCTCTGTTGCCTTTCTGAATGAAGCCTTCTGTGGGCCTCTCTCTGCACCCACCCCCATGCACACACACTTCTCCCCAGTTTCTGCAGAACTTAGCACCCAGTACCAACCTGTCTCAGAAGACCTGTGTGCTTAGACAATGACTTGGGGAGTCCCAGCCTAGGGAGAGCTGGCCACGGGGGCACCCAATGTTGACAAGCCAGGTGCTGGAGAGATAATCCCTTGTCCTGTGAGTCAGGAAGAGCCAAGAGGGGGGTGGCACTGGAGTTACATTTTAGAGGGTTTCAGGAAGAGGCTAGGAAAGGTTGCATTTCTGGCAGAAGAGCCAGCACAGGCAAAGACAGGGGAGCTGTGTAGCCGGTTGAGGTGGGAGAGCCCTGTGGGTGCTTGAAGGGAGTCTAACTCAAGTTAGGATTGGGAAGGAAGATTGGAACTGGACCCTTGAATGGCTGGCAGAGCGATTTGATTTATATTCCCAAGCGAGTAGGGACCAGGGAAAATTAGCCCAGGACTGAGATCTCTGCGAACAGGGACCCTCAGTGAGTGGAGGGCTAGGGGGTGGGAGGTAGGCCTAAAGGCAGAGGAATAACTTTGGGCCAGGCAAGTGTTAACCAGGGCCTAAGCTAGTCCAGGGGCCAGAGGCGGGTTGGAGGGAAGGCTTCCAGGGCTGTTCCCAAGCTGGGCCGCAGATCCGACCCTGCCTGGTGAGGGCTGGCCCTGGGAGCGAAGGAAAGGGCGGAGTCAGACATGACACAGTTAAGGCTTAGCACGTGAGACCTTATGTGGTGATTTCTGTAATCCACCGGCAGGCCATAGGCCCCTTCAGGCCAGGATCTGGTGGTCTGACAGAGGGAAAAGACTTAGCATCTGGGTTCAGACAAGTCTGGATCTGAATTTTGAGCCTGGTGCTCCCAAGCCGTGTGACCTTGAGCAGGGTAGATCCCTCTATGAGTCTCAGTTTTCTCACCTGTGAAATTGGGGTAACATAAATGCCAACTCTGGGTGGCTGTTCTGAGAAAACCATTCAGCGAGACAATCCATGTCAAACCCTGGAAGTATATGAGGCAAAGCGTGAGCCCCCCCAGAAGTGGTCATGTCATCCTGCTCTTCCCCAGCTGCTGGCCGGCTCTGTCCAGCACTAAGGGTGGCTTCTTTCCTGAGGGTGGACAGACCCCATGAAGGCTTTGAAGAAGGCAGGTTCATTCGTTCACCAAAATATTTTTGAAATCTCCCATTATGGGACACCTGGGTGGCTCAGTTGGTTGGGCATCTGCCTTCAGCTCAGGTCACAATCCTGGGGTCCTGGGATCGAGTCCCATGTGGGGCTCCCTACTCAGCAGGGATCCTGCTTATCCCTTTGCCTCTGCCTCTACCTGCTGCTCCCCCTGTTTGTGCATGCTCTATCTCTCCATCAAATAAGTAAATAAAATATTTAAAAAAAATAACAGAAATCCCCCATTATGTACCAGGCACTGGTCTAGGCATTGATGAGAGCAGTGAGCAAAGCAGTGACAACCTCCCTCCCTTGGAGCTTACGTTCTAGAAATAAATGAACACTATGCTTTGCTAAGTGCTAAGGAGGCATCATAGAGGAGAGGCATAGGAAGTTGAGGCATGTGGGGGCAGCCAGGAAGGCCTCCAGGAGAAGGCACCTTGAGGCAAGGCTTCTAGGAGGTGGGATGCCGAGGCATGGGGCCATCTGAGGAAAGAACGTTTCGGGGGCAGAGGGAACAGCAAGAGGCAAAGCATGTCTGGTGGTGGTGCTCAGAACCCCAGCTCAGTCACATCTCTCAGATCACATAGCCAGTCAAGGGTGGAGAAGAAACTGTGAAAACAAATAAAAAACTTAAAAAACACAGAACCACCAAACCTACCATAAGCCTGATTTCTGCCCCCTCTTCTCTATACCACTTCCCTCCACCGCTTTCCGGGACTGAGTTTCCAAGATAATAATAAGAGCTAGCATTTCTTGGGCACTTACCAAGTACTCTTTTAGGTACTGCTGGTTAGGAACTGGTTTAATCTCTACAAACAACTGTGCCATGCAGGAACTACTCATTATTCCCCCCCCCCCCCGCCACATAGACAAAGAAACTGAAATATAGAGAGGTTAGGAAACTTGCCCAGGATCACATAACTAATGTATTTACCTTTGTAAAACCCCGTAGGGTTATGACTGTCAGTGATGGGCAGCTGAACTCCGGAGAGCTGGTTCCAAACCCCAACTTGGTTAGCAACGAGACAGGTTGGGGGTGGGGGTGGGGAGGCTGGTCACCCCACCATTGCGTCCTCTCCACTTTCAGGGGAGGAGTTTAGCATATTGAAAGCCTCAGTTTACTCATCTGTACGGTGGGGCAGATGACGGCCCCTGCTGTTGCTTATCTGGGGTTCTTTTGAGTGGTTGAAATGACGCAGATAAAATGCTTAGCACTGTGCTAAGTATTTCATATGTGGCAGCTACAAGGACCATGATGGTGATGCTCCCAGGTGATTTCTAAGGGCCTCGCTGGCCTCGGACCCCCGCAGTTCTAAGGAGCCCTGACAGGCCTTCCGCAGGTGCCTTGGCTGTCAGCATACGGCCACACAGCAGTAGGCGCCAAGCCTAAGCTCCTGAGCAGGTGAGCAGGCCTGGCCAATGGGAGGGGCGGGGCCTGGAGCTCACCTGCACAGGCCTGCTACCTGTGGAGGAAGGGGGGGGGGCCTCCTCGAATTTTTTTTCCCTTCCTCTGATTTTCACAAAGGTACTAGATGGGCCAGTGGGCCCCTAGTGGATGCTGTTGAAAGAAAAACTGGTTTTCTATATTATTTCCTCACAGCACCTGTGAGTGCAAATGGGGGGGGGGGGTGAGTTTTGCACACCAATTCTCTGACACCAGCTGGGGATCCTACAATTTGATCTGATCCTAATATCATCTGCCTGGGGATACAGTTAGATCCCACAAATTAAGGGGACTTACCCCCCATGAGACTGCCCGTTTCAGATGTCCTAAGTCTGGGCCTCCCATACTGCTGACCAACCAGCTGTAAATGGAGGTTTCCCACGACCCCCTCTTCAGCTCAGAGAATTTGCTAGAATGGCTCGTAGAATTGAGGGAGATACTTGCTTAGGTTTCCTGGTTATTGCATAATAAAGAATACCATAATGCAGGGGAATAGCCAAATGAAGAGATACATATGGTGAAGTCTGGAAAGGTCCTGAGCACAGGACCTTCTGTCTCTGCGGGTTGGGGTACACTGCCTTCCTGTCACATGGTCTGACCCAGAAGCTCTCTGAACCCCATAGTGTAGAAATTTTTATGGAGATTTCATCCTGTTGGCATGATCAAGTATTAACTCAGTCTCCAGCCCCTCACCCCTGCATGGAAGATGAACTGAAAGCCCCAAGCTTCTAAACATGGCTTGGGCTTTCTGGTGACTAGCCCCCAACCCGAAGCTCCCCAGGAAACCCCCAAGGTCACCTCATTAGGCACAAAAGATGCTCCTGTCACCCAGGAAACTCCAGAAGATTTAGGAGTTCTATGTCAGGGACCAAGGTCAGAGACCAAATATTAGCACAAAAGATGCTCCTATCCCCCCTATCCCTTGGAAAACCCTAAGAGTTTTAGGAGCTCTGTGTCAGGAATGGAGATGAAGACCAAATATACATATTTCCTATAGTATCACAGTATCACAGCTATAAACCTGCTCTTCATCCTGACAGAGCCAACAACACAGGCTTCTAAGTCAGACTTGCTGGTATCAGACCCCAACCCTGCTACTAACCAGTCACATGTCCTAGGGCGAGCTACCTGACATCTTAGCTTCAGTCTGCCTAATTAAAATGGGGAAGCTGGGGTGCCTGGCTGGCTCAGTTGATGGAGCACGTGACTCTTGACCTCAGCGCTATGAGTTTGACCCCCATGTTGGGTGTAGAAATGACTTAAAAATAAGATTTTTTTTTTTTTTTTTTAGATTTTACTTATTCATGAGAGACCCAAGAGAGGCAGAGAGAAACACAGGCAGAGGGAGAAGGAGGCTCCTTGCAGGGAACTCAATATCGGACTAGATCCCTGGACCCTGGGATCACACCCTGAGCTGAAGGCAAACGTTCAACCCCTGAGCGTGTCCCTAAAAATAAAACCTTTTTTTTTTTTAAATTTATTTATGATAGTCACAGAGAGAGAGAGAGAGGGGGGGGGGCAGAGACACAGGCATAGGGAGAAGCAGGCTCCATGCACCGGGAGCCTGATGTGGGATTCGATCCCGGGTCTCCAGGATCGTGCCCTGGGCCAAAGGCAGGCGCCAAACCGCTGCGCCACCCAGGGATCCCTAAAAATAAAATCTTAATAGGGTAGTGATGAGGAGCAGAGGAAGTCATACAAGTGAAGCATTGGCTCTTGTGGATCCCAGCGGGAAGGACTGTGCTTATGGGGGTGGGGGAGCTTTCCCTTTCTCCTCACTTTACAACCTGAACTGGACACCAGTCCGCATGAGGTGGTGTTGGGGATGCTTCTGCAGGATTCTCACCCCATCTGTGATCCAGCAACTAAAGGGGTGACACTTGGCCCCGTACTGGTGTGTGCCTACCAGTTAGGGTTGTTAGGACTTCTGAGTATTACCCCTCTTTACCACCTTCCTCCTTCTCCAGGAGAGGAATCAGAGCAGTCTTTTTGGGAACATGAAACAGGCTGTGGCAAGGAGGCCTTCCAGCCCAGATAGTGTGAGTCATAAGCAGGAAAAGAGCATGGTTTTTTAGTGGAGAGAGGGATTCGTGAGGAACTCCTGATGCAGGGTACTGCAGAGGACGTGTGGCCTGGGGCATTGGGAAGGAGAGCATTCCCAAGTTTCATGAAGGGTGGACAAGAGGGGTCAAGAGCCCAGCCCCACTCTGTGAACAGGCACCCCCCTGTTATTACCAGCTGTGTGTGACTGTGGCTCTGGAACTCAAGACCTTCTGCTGAAAAATGGGACCTCAAGCCCTGACTATGCCCACAGGGGAAGTGGCTGTGTACTTTCTGTAAAGTGACCAGCACAACTCAAACTTGGGTTGCCTGCTATTTCTTTCGGATGGGCCTTCCAGCAAGAGATGAGGTGAGGGGTTGCATGTCCCTTCCCACTTGTCAAGTCAAAGTCTTTTTTTTTTTCTAAAGATTTTATTTATTTATTCATGAAGGACACAGAGACAGAGAAGAGAGGCAGAGACACAGGCAGAGGGAGAAGCAGGCTCCATACAGGGAGCCCGATGTGGGACTTGATCCCGGGTCTCCAGGATCGTGCCCTGGGCCGAAGGCGGCGCTAAACCGCTGAGCCACCGGGGCTGCTCCCAAGTCAAAGTCTTAACACCACCAGCTTTCAGAGTAAGATGTGGGATGCAAGCTTCATGCTGGGTCTGGCGGCCTTTTCAGTGCCCTCCAGAGATGGGAGCAAGCTGTCGTGTGTATGAACCCGTGGTCTTTGGTGGTCACCTGGCACCTCCTCTAAGATCTATGGGGCTAGGGTGTGTGTGTAAGTGTGTGTGTGTGGGGGGGGTTCTCTGCTGAATTGACTCTAGCAGTTGGGTCCAATAAAAAAGGTCTAGCAAATCTATTTTGATATGTAAATGAGACTATTATAATGAAAGACAACATGCAAATCTTTGGTTTTCTTTGAGCCCCGAAGATTGGGCCAAAGGGACTGTGAGAGCGATCCAAGAGGCGTCCCTGGACCTATGGGATCTAACTATGCCCGCTGTGTTGTTTTGAGGTGAATTGGGAATATGCAAATCATCTTGTTCTTATACTCCTCTGGCCGGCAGAACAAGGCTTTGCAATAAAGCCTGTGACCTCCAAGGTGCAACTGGATGCAGCCAAACCAAGAACCCAGCAGGCCCCCGGGAGGGGGTCAGGGTCTGCAGAGCAACTCAGGCGTCCTCTCTCGGACCTCAAGTGCTGTGCCAGCCCCACCTCCTGGAGTCCCTTCTCACCAGCTCCCTTCCTGAGGACACTGTTTGTTTCTTCAACAGAAGGAAGAGGCCCCGCATCAGGGAATCACTGAGGCACCCCCGCTCTGCTCCATGTTGGCTGTGCTCTCAGGTGAGATGTGCTGCAGCTGCGGCTGCGGGAAGCTGGACGTGAGACAGGGCAGCTGGTTTCCCGAGACTGGGGAGTCCTGCCAGGTGGTCACTAGTCGTCGTCGTCCTCATCATGGGGAACTGCTGCTTCCATCTCTAATCTTTGACTTTGGAGGCTCTGACCCCTTGACCTTCATTGCGACCTGAGCTACCCCTGGCCACAAGCAGACGTTTGACATGCTAGGGCTGGATGCTGGCCAGATTGGTGTGGCTGAGGTTAACCCCTGCCTTCTGTGGCTGGCAGTTTGTCCCTCTGCCCCCAGCCTCTGATCTACAGCCTCCAAGGCCTCTCCCCTCCACCTGGCCTCTGACATGCTCCCCTGGCCTCTTCTCTGTCTAGGCCTGCGCCATGCCCCCCCCAGCGGAGGTGACAGACCCGTCCCATGCCCCTGCCGTCCTGCGCCAGCTCAATGAGCAGCGTCTCCGTGGCCTCTTCTGTGACGTCACCCTCATAGCTGGAGACACCAAGTTCCCTGCTCACCGCAGTGTCCTGGCTGCTTCTAGTCCTTTCTTCAGAGAGGCCCTGCTTGCTTCAGCTCCACTGCCCCTCCCACCAGTTACTGGGGGCCCTGCCCCCAACCCTGCCACCACCACAGCTGCCTCTTCCTCCTCTTCCTCCTCCTCTTCTTCCTCCTCCTCTTCCTCTTCTTCCTCTTCCTCATCTTCCCCACCTCCGGCCTCACCCCCTACATCCTCCCCACCCCGGGTCCTGGAGCTGCCAGGGGTCCCGGCGGCTGCCTTCTCCGATGTCCTCAACTTCATCTACAGTGCCCGGCTTGCTCTACCTGGCGGCGGAGGGGACGGGGCAGCGGTGGCAGAGATTGGAGCCCTGGGCCGACGTCTGGGCATCTCCCGCCTGCAGGGCCTGGGGGAGGGAGGTGATGCCTGGGTACCTCCGGCCCCTGCCCCCATGGCCACCTCGCAGTCGGAAGATGATAGCTTTGGCCCAGGGCCCAGACCAGCCGGGGAGTGGGAGGGGGACAGGGCTGAGGCCCAGGCCTCTGACCCACAGCACCCCCTGCCTCGGCGGCCCCTCCCCTGCCCACGATGCGGGAAAAGCTTCATCCATCCCAAGCGTCTGCAGACCCACGAGGCCCAGTGCCGAAGGGGGGCCGGCCCTCGGGGGCCTGCAGGGCTGGGATCGGGGGGCCCAGGCCCCAGCGGCCCCGCGGGAGTGGATGCCTCAGCCCTGCCTGCCCCGGTGGGTTTCCGAGGCGGCCCTGAGCACGTGGTAAAGGTGGTGGGCGGCCACGTGCTGTACGTGTGCGCAGCCTGCGAGCGTTCCTACGTGACCCTGTCCAGCCTGAAGCGCCATAGCAACGTGCACTCCTGGCGGAGGAAGTACCCCTGCCGCTACTGTGAGAAGGTGTTCGCGCTGGCTGAGTACCGTACCAAGCATGAGGTGTGGCACACTGGGGAGCGCAGGTGAGTGGCCTGGGGCCTGGAGGTGGGGCCTGGCTGGGTGGCAGTGGTGGTGGAGTGGTCAGGATCACCCTGCAGGGACCACAGGGGGAAGGAGGGGGCAGGGGCAGGCAGAGCATGGGGCCCAGGGAGTTGCCCCGAGACTGGCCTGCTGGCCCCTGCTCACCTACTTGAGGTCACTGGTGCAGCCGCCTCCCTCCAGCCTTGGTTCCCTTCCCCAAGCACCCCTGGGTGCCCAGATGGGGCCTGGTGCCATGGGGAGGGCCAAGGCCAGCGAGGAAGTTGCCCCGCTAGGAAAAGACGGTGGGGGAACACAGGCATGCCCACTGGGTAGTTGGAACATGTATTTCTGCAACATGCCCTTGCTCGTAAACCATTTCCCAGATCCGTCCCAAGAGCCCCGAAAGGTGGCTTCGTGAATTAGGCAAGGTGTGTGATTACTCCCTGGTTTGCAGATGGACCAGCTGGGGCCTAGCGTCTCACAGCTGGTGGGGGGCACTGAGCTAGCACTGGTATCTCTGGCTGGCAGGATGGGACAAGCAGCATGAAAGGAGGGTGAACGAACGGCTGGGGGAGTCATAGGTGTGAGCAGAGGACATGGGAAGCTGAGGCCCTGGCTCCAGGGCCTCTGACTCAAGTATCTCTGTCCCCGCCTTGTTCCCTGCTGTCCTGGCCCAGGTACCAGTGCATCTTCTGCTGGGAGACCTTTGTCACTTATTATAACCTGAAGACCCACCAGCGAGCCTTCCATGGCATTAGCCCGGGCCTCTTAGCCAGTGAGAAGACACCCAATGGAGGCTACAAGCCCAAGCTCAATACCCTCAAGCTGTACCGCCTGCTCCCCATGCGGGCAGCCAAGCGGCCCTATAAGACCTACAGCCAGGGAGCCCCTGAGGCTCCCCTTTCTCCAAGCCTCAACACACCGGCCCCCGTAGCAATGCCTGCCAGCCCACCACCCGGACCCCCACCTGCCCCCCAGCCCGGCCCCCCACCCTCTGTAATCGCTTTTGCCCACCCGGCTCCCTCTGTCATTGTTCACGGGGGCAGTAGCAGTGGTGGAGCAGGGGGTGGGCCGGCCAACACAGGGGGAGCCCAAGCCGCCTCGGTCATCACTTACACTGCTCCCCCGAGGCCCCCCAAAAAACGTGAGTACCCACCTCCTCCCCCTCAGCCTGCAGCCACACCAACCAGCCCGGCCACGGCGTGCAGCCCGGCCACAGCCGCAGGCCCGGCCACAGCCACGGAGGAGGCCAAGGGCCGCAACCCACGGGCTGGAAGGACTCTGACCTACACGGCCAAGCCAGCCGGCGGGATTGGCGGGGGTGGGGGTCCCCCTGCGGGGCCTGGCCGGGGCCCCTCTCAGCTACAGGCTCCACCTCCACTATGTCAGATCACCGTGCGGATTGGAGAGGAGGCCATTGTCAAGCGCCGCATCTCAGAGACTGACCTGCGCCCGGGGGAGCTGAGCGGAGAGGAGGTGGAGAGCGAGGAGGACGACGACGACGACGAAGAGGACGACGACGACGACGACGACGACGAGGCGTCGCGGGCTGGCGGGGAGGACCAGCTCTGGCGGCCCTACTACTCGTACAAGCCCAAGCGCAAGGCGGCAGCGGGCGCAGGCGGCAGCGGGGTTGGCGCGCTGTCCCGGGGCCGCCGGCCGCCGCGCTGGAGACAGAAGCCCGATCGCAGGGGCTGGGAGGAGCCGGCGGCCGCCGAGGGGCCCGCGGGCCGCGGCCGGGCCGAGCGGAGGCACCGCTGCGAGGACTGCGCCCAGACCTTCGCCACCCTGCGGAAGCTGCGCAAGCACCAGGAGGCGCACGGCGGCGGCTCGCACGGCGCCCGCGGCGGCCGGCGGTCCTCCAACCGCTTCGCCTGCCCGCACTGCGCCAAGGTGTGCAAGACGGCGGCCGCGCTGAGCCGCCACGCGCAGAGGCACGCGGCAGAGCGGCCCGGGGGCGCGCCCACGCCCGTCATCGCCTACTCCAAGGGCGGCGCCGGCACGAGGGCCGGGGATGTTAAGGAGGAGGCTCCTCAGGAGATGCAGGTCTCCTCGTCCAGCGGGGAGGCGGGTGGCGGGAGTGCGGCCGCCGACGGGGCCTCCGAGACCGCCTCCCTGCAGGACCCCGTCATCTCAGGGGGCGAGGAGCCCCCGCTGGTGGCGGCGGGGGGCGCCTACGCGTACCCGCCGGTGCAGGAATTTCCGCTGGCTCTGATCGGGAGCGGCCGTGAGTCCGGCGGTGGGAGGGGGAAGGTGGGTGGCGAGGGGCCGGTGGGCGCCGGGGAGGGGGACCGCGTGGAGGGGATGGGGGCTGCCAAAGTCACCTTCTACCCGGAGCCCTATCCGCTCGTCTACGGCCCCCAGCTCCTGGCTGCCTACCCTTACAACTTCAGCAATTTGGCCGCCCTCCCGGTGGCCCTTAATATGGTCCTACCTGATGAGAAGGGTGGTGGGGCCCTTCCCTTCCTTCCGGGGGTCTTCGGCTACGCAGTCAATCCTCAAGCGGCGCCCCCTACGCCCCCAACCCCGCCTCCCCCCACTCTCCCCCCGCCAGTACCCCCTAAGGGAGAAGGGGAAAGGGCAGGGCTGGAGAGAACCCAGAAGGGAGATGTGGGGTGAGCTCTGGGCCCACCTCCCCCTTCACCAGATGCCACCCTCCCTGAACCCCCTGCCACTACCAGCTCCCTGGCTTCCCTGCCCCCTTGGGAGCCCCTCCACACTCTTGTGCAGGGACCTGGGGGCCCCTGGAGCTCAGGGGTCAGGCTGCTTAGTGTGAGATTATAGTTTTTCCCATCTCCTGGGAGGGGATCTTGGGCGGTTCCCCTCTCAGTTCTCCTCCAGGGAATGGCCTCCACAGGGGCAGGGCCAGCTCTCATCCCTTCTCTAGCCCTCGGGGCAACTGAGCAATATACTTATATGAATCTCTACTCACGGCCCCCACCAGCTCTGAATGTCTAACCCACCCTCCTGATTCGTAAACCCCGAGGGGAAACCATCTCTTTCACCTAGTGATCTCCCCTCATTCTGAAGCTTTCTCTAAGCCCCTGCCTAGATGCTTCCTAGCACATTCCATTCTTCATGGCCCAGGGCCTGGACCACACCATTGTGATACCTGACACCTGCCCACCTGGGAGCATGGCTTCGGTTTCCATTCTCCCCAGGAGTGGGTTTCTGTGTCCCTCTTTCCTTCACATCGAGATGCCATGCCTTCCTTGGCTTTCATGCCTTTGGATCTTCCATATACCTCCTCATTCTCCTGGACTCTGGAGATGGCCTCTTCCAATCCAGGTCAAGGAGGTGTTGAGGGGAGGGCTACCCATCTGTTCCACGGCTGAGCACTTTCCCAGCCCAGGGCAGCACTAATCTTGGCCCTGTCTTGACCCCCAAATCCAGTGAGCCCCAGATTCTTCCAAGGCAAAGGGGTGAATAGACCGCACCTCTTCCTGCCTCTACCTATGGCCTCTTCTGGGCTGAATCAGATTTGGGGGCCAGGATGGAGAAGCTCCGTATGGAATGGGGAAGGGAATCTAATTCTCCGTTTTTTCCTGATGGTTTCTCCCAGACTAGACCAAATAGCCAGAAAAGTGATGGGGGTTGGATGGGTGGGTAAGCCCAATTTGCACATGACCTCCCATCCTTACCTTTACCTCCATCTTCCCCAGTGTCGCTTCCCTCACCGTTCACTCCAGGTGGTTTTTGGGGAACCATCCTACTCCCTTGGTGGGCTTTGGGGTATCCCCACCGACTTTTCCTCCAGAATAGCACCTTACACCCCATCTTTGACTCAGTTCCCCACACCCAAAGATCCCAGCCTAGGGATGGGGTGCAGGGACCATCAACAGTCCCTAATCCCTAATTTGCACTAGTTAACCCTGGTCAGGGGTCCGTATGTTTCCTTCCAGTGGGGGAGTTGAAGAAATGTTTGCTCCTACTTCTCTTTGACGACCGGGCATCCCCACTCTGTGATTGGATGAATATTTCCTATCCCACCCACTTCCTGCCCTACCCCCCCCCAAAAAAAAAAAACAGCTCACAAGGGGAGAGCCAGTTTGGGGGAGCAAATCTGATAAATGGGAATTAGAGGAGTGCAGTTTAAAAAGGGGAAAGGCTGCCACCGTTTAGATGGGAGCTTTATCCCAGCTACTGTTTTCCGGGGCCGAGATGGCTGCCCTCTCATGTGGCTGAAAGGGCAAGATCATGGCTTTTGGAGGGAGGTGAGCTTGGGGGGAAAGGACCAGGAGCATCCTCCTGCCTCCTCTTACCCTCCTCGTCTATAGGAAGGGGTAGGGTTTTGACAGGCTCCTGAATGTTAACTACGGAGGAGTCACTCCTTTACTCCTCCTCTGTCTCTTTGCACTTTTCTTGGTCTTGGCCACAGTCCGAGTGAAGAGTTTCCTACTGAATGTACCAAGTTCCAATTTTTAAGGGGGTAAGAAGCTTAAAACGGGAAAAATGCAAAAAAAAATCACTAAAAAATTCCCACAAATCTTGTTTCTGGCACTTTAGAAAAACTGCGAAAAAAAGAACATAATAAAGAATACATATATATATCTACACACAAATTTTATATATATATATATATACACACACACATATATATATATACACATACACACACACACGCACGCACGCACACGGCGGAACCACAAGAGACAGAAGCCTTGGAGGCAGGGGGCAGATGTGATGACAGCTCCCCTATTATCCTTAACCTGCACTCCTCTGAGGCAGAAAGAAAGGCACAGGGAACAGAAGGAGTTGAGGATGGACCGGGGCATTTGAATTTCAGAACAGGTCAAAATTCCAAAACCATGGACATTTGGGGAGAACTGAGATTGCAGACATTTATTTTTCTCGGGGAAACATGTTTTAGGAAGGTAGTTTCCAGAATTTGGTGGTTCTGGGCAACAAACGAAATTGTGGCAAATTGGAGATTAAAACATATGTATCCAAAGCTGGGGAACGTGAATATTGTGAATTTCAGATGTTGGAAATTTGGGATTTTGCCATTTCGTCTTTTTGAAAATTACTCAAGTTTTGTCAGTTTGTGCCCTCCTTGCCCATGTTCCCTGGGGAGAAGGGTGATGGTGGAGTGGAAAGGCCACTGGTTCTGTGCCACAGCACGCAAGGGTTAGAATTCTACAGACTGTAGCTCTATACGTAGTGAGGACCCAGATTTAGAGAAACTGACCAATATTTATCTCCGCATTTGTGTGTGTGTCCAACTCTCTAGGCCAATAAACCAACAAGACAAACAAACTGTGCTCTGCAGTGGGATGCCAAGTGCACTTCTTTGCGTGGCTGGTGGGTCGGCTGGACAGGGACACGCTTCCCTTGTCCCCCAGGGATCCTGGGGGCCGTGGCTGTATGATCCCTCTGAGGGCACAGCTTCCAGCAGCTGAGGAGGTGTGAGGGCTTGGCAACCCTGTGTACTTCACGGTAATGGCTGCAGCTACCAGGGCTCAAGCTGACTTTGGTCTGACCTCCAGGCTGAAACATTAACTCAGTCCAGTTCACACAGCCTGCTGGGCCCAAGAGCCTCATGTCCCCCTGTGCCTTAAACCTGGTGCAGCCCCATCTCCAAATTGAAAAGAAACAGGTGCAAAATGAGCCACGGTCATGAGACACAATCACCTGTCTTTCTCCACTCCTAGCCTCTCATTGTCTTCAACTCCTCATCCCCCTCTACCCTCCCCTTGATTCTGTATAATGTTATGGAGGAGCAGACAAGTAAAATGAGAAAAGCTGGTCAGGTGGGTGGGGGCTTGGAGAAATTCTGGTACAAATACCTTGACAGCGTGGGCCGCCACTCATCAGGGGAATCAGGCCCGGTGTTACGTAGTTTAAAAAAAATTTTCTTTTCCCCAGAGAAGCCAGAAATCCAAATTTCTCTGCTCAATATCCAAATTTTTAAAGTGGCTAACACACTAAAAATTGTGCAGGCCAACAACACAGGCCAAACACGCACACCAGCTTAAAACCTCTGATGTATACCCTGTACAGCTTTTGTTCCCATCTTCTCACATGACCCTCAGACTAGGGGGCAGATACTATTATTAGCCTCATTTTACAATGGTGGAATCTTAAGCCAAGAGTGGTTCAGTACCTTATACAAAGTTTGAGCACCAAAGCTGGAATTTGAAGTTTTTTTTTTTTTTAAAGTGAGCTCTCATTACAAATGCATCCTTTTAGAAATAACTTTTTTAAAAAATCCTATGGATAACACTTATCCGAAAACAATACGTTACAAGAAGGTAAAAACAAAGAGAATGACCACTAGTCCCAACATGCAAACACAGGCACTATTCATTGGTGCATTTCCTTCCCAGAAAGAAAGAAAAGAAAAAATTCCCTAATCACTCAACAAATGTTAAGCACCTGCTATCCTATGGGTCAGGACCTGTGCTAGGCGCTGGGGATATTACAGTGAACAAAACAAAGCTCCTGCCCTCTGGTAGGGCGTACAGTCTACTTCTTGATCTTTGTTCCATTCTACCGGCAACCTAGTGTTACTCTCCAAAGGAACTTCTATAAGAAACCAGAAAACAAACAGTGCATTTCTGGAGGGGCCACTGCTTCCGCCCGCCCCCTCCCACTTGGGCGCTCTCCCCACCAAGGCAATGGTGTGGGAGGACTGGATTCCAGGTGGAGCTGCGAGGTCCTGGCTCTTGGCCCTCTGTCCTCAAGGAAAAGGGTCCGCAGGGGGCAAGTGATAGGAGGCGTCCAGGAAGATGACGAGGGTCCCAACGCTAGTGAAGATGATGAAGGTCCACAGGAAAAGGCGATCCACTACCATGGCCACAAATTGCCAGTCTTCTTTCAGCTGGGGGTAGGCAGTGTAAACTCTTTTTGAGCTCCAGACCCCCAGGGGAAGGCCTGCCCTGTACCCTTGCCCTCGTCCTCCTACGGATCGGACGCAGGGGCGGGCCGCTGGGTCGAGGAAAACAAAACTGCGACCGATGGACGGAGTGAGGAACCAGTCGGAAGACAGGGGCGAGACCAAAGAGGCAAGCTTCCAATCAAAAGCAAGATTGGGCGATGGGGGCGGGGCCATGGGGCCCCGCCCCGCTCAGCCCTCATGGGACTTACCGCGTCGTGGTCCTCCTGTTCCTGCAGCTGCCGAGCGATGTAGCTAATCGAGGAAACGACCTCCCGTAGCTCAGGAGGCAGGCCCACAGCCGGGTTTGGACCATCGACAAGTCGCCGCAGCTCCGGGGCAGACAATTCAGGCTGGAACCTGGAAGAGGCGGGACAGTTTGGCCACGCTCTAGGCTCCGTTCCGACTCCCTCCTCCAACACTCTTATTAGTTTTCAGAACGTAAGAAGGCCCTTTAGGCTCTCCCCGCCGGCGGCGATCTCTCCTGCCTTCCGCAATTCCTCCCATCTCAACACGTTCCACTGTCCGCCTTTCAGCAAAGTTGGCGGCGGAAGGGATACTACGATTCCCATGATGCTCAAGGGCATCTTCCGAGACCTTCAGCCGCCTGCCTCTGCACAGGCTTCTGGGAACTGTAGTTCCCTCTCTCCTTTCCTCGTAGGCGACTGGGAGGAGTGGGTACTACCTGTTGGGTTTGGGGAAGAGAAAATCGTTCAGCGGCTTCCGGATGAAATATTCATCTGTTCCCCGACCCCAGCCACTTCCTGGAGAATCCCTGAGGGCTACGGGAGGTGGCTCCGGCATCAGGTCTCTCTCAGGTTTGGGCCTCTTCAGACCCAGGTATAGAGGGAGTTTGTGGATGAAGATCTGCTGAGTAGAAAGGCGTGTTGGCCGGGGCTCTCATGCTTTCCGACGGGAAGGGAAGCAGCCCACCGGTCCCATCCCCGCGCCTGCGTGCGCGCGTCCCTCCCAGCTACCCAGACAAGGAAGTACAACCACACATCAAGAGCTCCTGAGTGGCCTGGGAGGCGTCCTGGCCGGGGGAAAAAAAAAAGTCCCGATGCTTCCACCCTGATAGAACCTGACCCTGAGAATGTTTCCCTGCAGCCCAGGATGGGCAGTATGGACGAAGAAAATATGGGATCTGTGGCATGACAAATGTCAGGAGGGTAAAATTAACTGTGCAACGTTTCAACACCCAACAGGCCTTAACACTTGAACACTCTACCAGGAGTTGTAGTTCTCTCTCAGGTATGAAGTTGGTAGGCAGGTTGCAGGAGCCACACCTGCGCAAAAAGACAAATGCTAGGACGGAGGATTAACATGGATTGGAGGAGGACATCTTACCTGGCGGACCCAAGTGGGCATTTGGTGGGTGTGGGGTGAGCGATGGTGCAGGTTGAGGACCACAACGCTCAGGATGACGGAGAAAGTGACGAGGATCATGGTAAACATGAGGTACTTGATAATGATGGGGACAGACAGGGAGGTCTCAGGAACTTTGTCTGCCAGCAGCAACAGGAACACAGTGAGGGTGAGCAGGGCAAAGATGGAGAGCCCCATCTTTTCTCCTTGCAGGGCAGAGAAGAAGGTGGAAACATTAGACTTTGCCAGAAGGCAATTTTCGTGGCACAATCAGTGACCGTGTTTCCAGCCCACTCAAGGACACGCTTCTGGAAGGGCCAACTGCATGCAGATGATTCCTACAATTAAACCTCCAGGCCAGATTTGTTCTCCTAAACTCCAGATTTATAGCCACCTGCTGATCTAAACTCTCCGCTTGGACAGCCAATAGACAGACATCTCAAATTAACACATCCCAAACCTAATCCCCTGATCACCAACCCTTCCCACTGTCTCCCCCATTTCATGAATGAGAAATCCATCTTTCCTGGGACTCAGGCCAAAATCCTGTTAGTCATTCTCCACTCCTCTCTCTGTCTCTCTCATCCCATATCCAATCCATAGCAAACCCTACTGGCTCTATCTTCAAAATATATTCATACAAACAGCCATCACCTCAGATCTGAGTTAGGATGAAGCAAAGTGGAGACCTTAATAATATTTCCTCCTGCTGCCTGTTCTCAACAGAGCAGCCAGATAGATCCTGCTAAAATGTAAATTAGATCATATCACTTCTCTTCTCAAAACCTTGGAGTGGCCTCTCACGTTCTTTAGCATAAAAGCCAAAATCCTCAGTGTGGTTGACAAGGCTTTCCCCATTATCTGTCTGACTTGATCTCCTACTGTTTTCCTCTTGCTTATATCACTCAGTTATCCTGGCTATTTCCTGAGTATGTGAGGCTCACTCCCCCTTGAGGGTCAGTGAGGGTCCCCCTCAGTGAGTGCATGCACTGTTAACTCCAGCTGGTACATTATTCCCCCAGATTTCTGTCTGCCAGGGTCATTCACTTGGTCCCGCCCCAAGCAACTGCCAATGCTCCCTTCAATTCTTTATTCAAATATATGATAAATATTTTAAATATATTATTTGTTTGTTTGTTTATTTATTTGAGAGAGAGAGAGAAAGCATGAGTAGGGGGGAGGAGCAGAGGGAGAGAGAGAAGCAGGCTCCCCCAAACCCAGGACCCTGAGATCACGACCAGAGCCAAAAGCAGATGCTCAATAGACTGAGTCACCCAGGTGTCCTCTTTGTTCAAATATTGATCAAATATTTCCTTTTTATTGAGGCATTCACTGACCACTTTTTTTTTAAGATTTTATTTTTATGTAATCTCTACACTTAACATGGGAGTTCAAATTACAACCCCTAGAACAAGAGTAATATGCTCTATGGACTGAACCAGCCAGATGCCCCTGACTATTCTATTTTAATTAATTAATTAATTAATTAATTAATTAATTAATTAATTAATGAGAGGGAAGGGGCAGTGGTAGAGGGAAAGTGAATCTTAAGCAGGCTCCCGGCTGGTCATGGATTGCATAACCCTGGGATCACGACTGAACTGAAATCAAGAGTTGGACGCTAGAAAAAAAAAAAAAAAAAGTTGGACGCTAAACCAACTCAGCCACCCAGGCACCCCCTTACTTCTATTTTAAATTGTAACCCTTAGCCCCATTCTAATTCTCTATAACCACTTTTCTTGCTTTATTTTCCTCCTTAGGACTTGTCCTCTTCTAACATACTATCAACTAGATATATTTGTTTATTGACTGTCTCCCCGCTAGAATGTAAACTCCGCAAGGCCAGGATTTTGTCTCTTTGACTCATTGATGTTTCCCAGGGCCTAGCCCATTACAGATGCTAAACAAACATCATTGCATGAATGAATAGACCAACCTTGAAGCTTTTTTTAGGAACCAAATAGCAATCTGAAGGATCTAAAAATGAAACAAGGTATATACGGATATGCCAGGTGGCTGATTATTCCTGTGGCATACAACAGGCACCACAAACTTCAAGGAAGGTATTGAAATTAAAAAAAAAAAAAAAAAACTTTTATGCTCTGCTCTACTTAAGTCCTATAATATTGGGTTCCAAGATTTGCCCTGCTCTGGGAGGAAGTAGAAGTTACATTTGGAAGTGTTTTCTAGAGCTGGATCACTTTCCCTCCCTAGACAGAGAACTTGGTGCCAGAGAGGAGGAAAGCAAGCTTTAAATACCAGAGTTAAGGATTTCAGTCTCTGAATCAGACTGGCACCAACCAGGGTTGGAATGGCGACACTACCTGTCTCTAACTAACATGGGGCAAATGACTTAAACTCTTTCAGCCTCTTTGTCCTCCTCTGTAAAGTGGGAAGACAATTCAGTACTCACCTCACAGAGTTGTTGTAAAGATCACAATTAAATTAACATAGGGGCACCTGGGTGGCGCAGTCAGTTGAGGGTCTGACTTTTGGTTTTGGCTGGGGTCGCAGTCTCTGGGTCATGAGATCAAGCCCTGCTTCTGGCTCTGTGCTCAATGCAGAGTCTGCTTGAGAGTCTCTCCCTCTCCCTCTGCCCCTCCCTCCCCTCAGCTCTAAAATAAATAAATCTTAAAAAAGGAAATAAAGGAGTTAATGCATGTAACATGTTAACTGTACTACTTATCACAAGTGCTCACACATAATAAAACTAATACCAACACTTATATAAAACTTACTTGGTACCAGGTGTAGTTCTAAGAAACTCATTTAATCCTCAAAATAATCCTATTAAGTAGGGACTCATAGGAAGGAATTTGCCCGAGGTTACTCTGTGACTACATTATGCTGCCTCCTGGAAAAATGTTGCTATTATTTCCAAGGAAGATAGGAGGCCAAGGGACTAGCAGGTGGCTGAAAAAATGGGGGAGGCGGGTGGGGAGGCTACCAGGAATGGGGAAAAGGAGGGTGTTCTAACTCGAGGAGTTTGTTGGTCCCAAGGATGAGATCTTAGGATTCTGAAGGGAAGAGTTCAGGAGCTCCCGGGATGGAGAGAAGAGGGCAGTAGCCTGAGGTGGGAGGGGAAACCTGGATCCTAGGAGGAGACCCTGGTTGAAGGGAAAACCTGGGAAGGATGGCTGAAGCACCACCCTTGATGGCTTGCGTTGGCCAAAACCCTTGCCTGGATTCAGGGTGGAGAGGAAGAAGCTGTACAAGCGGTGAAAAGGCAGGGCTGGGGGCCCCTCCCTCCCTTACCTGCATCTGGCGGCAGGTAGAAGACGAAGATGGCCAGGAGGGTGATGAGGATGCAAGGGGCAATGACGTTGACCAGGTAGAAGAGAGGCTTCCTGCGGATGATGAGATAGAAGGTGACTTCTTGCCGCTGTCCTTCCCCGCCCCGCCTAGGATCCACCGGAGGCTGCACTAGCCGGGAAGGCTTGTGGATAATTTCCCACTGGCCATTCTCTGCGAGGAAGCAGAGGGGAGGAGGGAAGTCAGGGACGCACATGTGAAACCTGTCCTTACTCCTGCCAGATCTGGCTTTGTTCTGGCACATCCTTGACCCGAGGGGCTGATGTGATGAGGCGTTAGCCTGTGGACACTGGGCTGGGCAGCCCATATCTGGTGAACTTGAACAAGTCTCCATTTCTTTTTCCCTTTTTAAGATGTTTTTGATTTATTCACAAAAGACACACACAGAGAGGCAGAGACACAGGCAGAGGGAGAAGCAGGCTCCCTGAGGGGAACCCAATGAGGGACTCGATCCTGGGACCCCGGGGTCACGCCCTGAACTGAAGGCAGACGCCCAACCGCTGAGCCACCCAAGCACCCCACATCTCCATTTCCATATCTGCAAAATGTAGATTCTCACTCATCTTGCCCACCCCACAGGGTTGTCCTGGGCATTGCTGAAGGAGGATATTTGTCAGCCTGTTAGAAACTGGACATCATAAAGCCCATGGACGTGGGAGCCACAGCCACTCACCAATGAAGGTCCCTTCATGAATGTGCACTTCCTGCAGCTCCTGCCTGTCAGGACCCAAGCTGGTGTGCAGGCTGACCTCTGAGCTGTCATAGCTGTAGGAGCTGAACACCATGGTGCAGTTCTGCCAGTCGAAGGGGAAGTAGGTGACCTGGATAGAGCGGGGAGTCACCAGAGCTGCCAGAGAGCTGTTCACGGCTGGGGGCTTTGGGAGGTCAGTAGGCAGGTCACAGGGAAGTAGGGTCAGAGGAATTAGGGGAGCCCACAGGCAATGGAAACGGGGTCGCTGAGAAACACTGCATGTCATTGACAGTGGACAGAGAAGATGAAATCACGCAAAATCAGGAGGGCGGGAGCGATGGGAGGCTTATGGGGTTACTGCGGAGTCAGTGTTTCAGGAGAGGCAGGGTTCCCAGGGGGAGCCCCCGGGGCACCTGGATGCTGCAGCTGCTACGGTAGAGGCCTGGAGGCTGCCAGCGCACGGAGCCATCGGAGGACACCACGACGTTCAAGTCCAGAGCAACGTCGAAATTGCCGTCGTTGCTGCGGGTGAGGAATGGGCTCGGCCTGGACCCGGACCCTCCCCCTGGAGACCCCGCCCACTCCCCCAGTCTCGCGGAAGACCCTACTTGTTCAGGAGCACCACGTCTGGAAGCCACACGGATCCAGCTGTGATACGGAGTGAATCGATACCCTGGTACTCTGCAGGGTCCCAGCTCAGCCTGTAGTCAGTCCACTCCTGTGGAAGCAGAGGCTGAGGGGCTGTCCAGGCTGGAGCCTGGGAGGGGACGTGGGATGTCCAGAGGGAGCTGGGGAGGGAGTACAAAGGAGGGGAGCCGGCAGGCTTGGGCTGTGGTTCTGGAAGTCGGAGTTCTGATCCCGGCTGCACGTTTACTCGTTGGGATCCCATCAGCTAATTTCCCCTTCCCTCGAGCTGGGCCCCAAATTTTGGGTCTAAAAACGAGGGTGCACTAGTTAGCCACGAAAACGGTGTTTTTCAAACTGCAGTTCGTGACCTTTTAGTGGGCAGGGAATCAAATTAGTGGTCCCCCAAAAGTGTTAAAGTAGAATAAGAAAAGCATGGGATGCAACTCTCATAGTAAAGATAGGTATTGTTTCTGTTTCTCTTATATTTTCCGAGGTCCTGGTGCAAGAAAATACTCTTACTGAGGCGGACATTGAAGGAAATTGTAAAGGCAGCGGGACGCCCTTTCCCACCCCGCGGGGGTCTGCTTACCAGGTCTAAGTACACCTTTGTGCTCATCTCCTCATCCTTCTCGTTCTAGAAGGGAAAAGTTTAAAAAGAGTAGAGGGGATGTGAATAGAAAGAAATGAAGGGGCTCCGCGGGTCAAGCTCTCACTGGAAATCCCTCTTTTTCTGAGTCCCCCTTTCTTGGCTCCAAGCCCCGCCTCCTGGATGCTGCATGGTGTAAGCCCCACCTCTATCTCAGAAACTTCCGGCGGTCTACACCGCCGACCAATCCAACAACCAGGCCGCCCCCTCCGCCCGGCTCCGCCCCGGGCCCCACCCACAGCCCGTAAATCACCCAACCCTGCATCTCCGCCCGCCTTTATTTCCCGACCGGGTGCGGCCGCAAGCTCCGCCCCAGCCTGCGACCCCGACCCGGGACCCGCCCCCCAGCCAGTCCAGGGCGGCAGCCCCGGTTCCACCCGCGGCCGGTCCAGAAGCCACGCCCACGGCTCGTCCATTGGTCCGACGTCCACCCTGCTAACGGCCCGTCCATCTCCCGGCCTGGCTCCGCCCCAGGCCCAGCCACGCCCCCGCCACGCCCCCCGCCGGTCCTTGGGCCCGAGCTCAACCCCCGCGCGCGCGCCCTCACCAGGCTGATGAGTTGCGCCAGGCTGAGGCCGACACTGACCCCCACGCTATCCCCCACCTCCCGCGCCGGCCGCACCGAGCTATCGTAGCCCAAGAAAAGCTTCTCGCGGAGCCGACCCTCCACCTCCGTGCCGCGGGCGCCTGGAGGAGAAGAGCAACCAGTAAAGCCACCGTACCCGGCCATGACCCCTGCCCGTCACTGCCCCCCGCCGCCCGCCCCGAGAGACCCAGACGTACCCGGGGCGAGTGGCACCCCCAACGCCCCCAGCAGCAGCAGCAGCGCCCCTGCGGTCATAGCTCGGCCGGTTGGTTGCTCAGTGAGTTCGCTCGATTCACCAGCGCGGGGGGGAGGGGGGAAGTGACGAGGCGCCCAGGAATGTGCACCTGTTGTTGGGGGGCAGCCGCCAGCCCACCCGCCCCGCCCCGCCCCTAGGACTTGGTCCCGCCCCAAGCAACTGCCAATGCCCAACACCCACAGATGACAGATAACATTTGAGTTGTATAAATCATCTTTAATGGAGAGAGCATGGAGTGGAGACCCCATCGTCCCCTGGGAGCGAAGCCAGGAGAGGGGGTGGGGCCTAAGGGGTCTGTGTGGGTGAGGGGAGTAGGCACCCCTCTTGCAACAAGCCAGAAATACAAAGAGCCTGAGGAAAAGTGACTTGCCTCGGAGCCTGAGCCCTTCCCTTTATGGTCTCCTGTCTACCCTGCCCCGGTCTGGAAGCCACTCAGTCTCCCTCCTAGTTGACTGGTGGGTTCCTGATCTTTTTCAGGCCTGCCCCTAGCTCTCCATGCTGTTCAGAAAAATCTAGTCAGGCCCCTTTTGGGTACCTAAAACTTAGCTCAGGTTATAGCTGTAAGGTAAAGCAAATTCTATTCAGTTAGAAGCTCTGGGGATATATGAGGTCTGGAGCCCAAGAGGCCCTCACCCTCCTTGACCTGACTTCTATGGGAGAGGGGTTAAACTTATTGCTGAATTGGGGTCTCCGCACGGGGGGGGGGGGAGGGTCAAGGCTGTGCCCTGTTTGTTCATTTCATTTGAGATCCATTACCTTAAAGACCTCAGCTTTAGAAGGGACCCAGAAGGTATTCCTGTGGAGGTAGCTAAGTGTCCATGTCCCTACAACCCAGGCACAGCCAAAACATGCCGTAGTTTGGGCCCCTTGGCCCTCCCAGCTTCTCTACTATGAGCCAAGGATTTCTTCCCGGACTCCTCTGCCCCCCTTCAGACTCGGTTTCCCTGGCAGGACCCCAGCTGAGCTGGAGGAGCTAGAAACTACGTGTAAAAATAAGGTTAGCATTCTATAGGAAGACTCGAATTTTTAGAAAATCTAGGAAAAACAAGAGGTGTTTCTTGATTCATCAACAAAGCTCCCCATGAATCAGAACTGGGTTCTTTCCAGAGCTCATCTTTCACAGGTATTACTAGAGAAGGTAGGAAGGTGGGTCTGGAGCTCACTCTATATGGGCATTTTTTTTTAAGATTTATTTTTATTTATTTGTGATAGACATAGAGAGAAAGAGAGAGAGAGAGAGAGAGAGAGAGGCAGAGGGAGAAGCAGGCTCCATGCCAGGAGCCTGACGCAGGACTCGATCCCAGGACTCCAGGATCGCGCCCTGGGCCAAAGGCAGGCACGAAACCGCTGAGCCACCCAGGGATCCCCTCTATATGAGCATTGATACGGCTATAGAAGCCCAAGTTCCATCCTGGAGGGAAGGGCTGAGAGTCGTGGTCTATGTCCTAGAGCTGATTCAGAAGGAAGTATGGCTCTGTATGTGTCTAGAACACTGTGCTCTAGAATTGGGTGTCTTTGGGATAAGAAAGTTAAAACTGTGGTGATCTGAGACTGGTCCTAGTTCAGGCCAAGGCCAGCAGCTGGACAGGGCTCAAATCCAGCCTCTCTCTACTTGGAAACCGGGGGTCCAGCTGGGTCAAGGACAGAAGCCTAATGGATCCAGAGCAGAGCCTGGCAGCATGCCAGCATCCCAGCACAGAGCCTTAGTGCAAAAAGGGCCCTGGCTAGGATGCCTGGTGTTCCAGAATCTCTCCAGAACAAGGCAGAAGGTGGAGTGGGGCAAAAAGGAAATTAATCCTGAGCTCTTGTAGGGCTATAAATCTATGGCTCAGTGGCAATGAAAAGGGCATAGTGCTCCCGGGATGCGCTGAGCCCAGGGTGGGGAGTGTTTGTGTCCTGGTTCTTTCTGTCAGTTTGGGAACCCCCCAGCGCCTTCTCAGGAAAAGGCTTTTGTGGGGGGCTGTGAGTGTGGAAGGAAAGAAGTGATTGGCCAGGACCATTTTCGGACATCCCCCTCTCTGAAATCCCAGGAGCTGAAGCCTGGAAGAGGCGAGGGGTCACAGCCAGCCCCTTGGCTCCTGCAGGATAGAACATCTGCTGGGGCCTGGCTGCTCAGGGCATGGGTGGTGGTGGCAGGGCTGAGGGCAGGGCTGGGAGCAGGGCTGGAGACAGGCTGTGGTGGTGGCTAGCTCAGTGCAAGTGCAGGGAGCCTCCAGTCCACAGACTACATTTTAGGGGGCAGGGGGACTGGGAGGTGAGGTCTCAGGGACACTGTGGAGAGAAGGCTCCCGGTACATGGCCACTGTAAAGGGAAGAGAGAGGAGCAGGAAGGAGAATTAGGCACAGAGAGATCGAGAAGGAATCAGAGGCTCAGAAAGGGAGCCCTTCTCCTCCCCCCATCCTCTGTGAACCTCAACCCACAGGAGGGCTCCCCAAACCCTCAAAGGCCAAAGTCTTCTTAGCTTGACTTCTCATAACAGGTGTCCCCCCCACCACCATAAGAGAAGCAATATACCAAGGTTGTGACAAGGTATGAACATATACAGCAGCATGAACATACACACAAGCTTCGTGCTTGTGAACCAGGGAAGGATCAACAGGTGTCCTCTGTTAACGCCTGTGGCCTCTGACTTGTGTGTCTGCTCAATGACCACATCTAGGTCAGCACCCTCCCATGTGGCCCACCTTCTCTGGAGTCCATACTCACCCTCCAGGAGCTTGGGCACAAAGTGGGCGGCGGCCTTGGTCTTCTTGACTCGATTTCCCTTCATGACTCGGCCCTCCTTGTCCAGGCCCAGGTACCAGGCCCGGCCAGAGCGGCGCTGGCGATAGAGAGCAGAGGCGTACAGGACATAGTAATTCTCAAAGACGCATTCCTTAAAGCGACACTCAGCTGTGAAATGTGGCTGGGGAGACAAAGACCCAGAGAGGCACACACAGACAAAAAGACACATCACTGGACAGAAGGGAGCCCTGGGAAGAATGAGCCAGGACAGAATCAATACATTTTGGGCTGGGAGGGCCCACTTCTCACGCCACGCAGAAACTAGGAGAAAGGGAGCATGGGGGAGAGTGTGGTCACCCCCCCTACCCCATGGAGGGTTAGAAACCAGATCAGGGTGGTGGTGGTGGAGCAAACCCCAGGCCACTCAACTTCATTGTCTCACCGAGCTATAGAGCAGCCCCTCTGCATTCATGGCCATGTAGTGACCCAGCTTGGCACTCTGGATGGTGACCACACGGAGCCCCACGGGGATCAAGTTGAAGTGGGCTGGGGGTGGAGAGAGGCAGCATCAAGCCCTGGGGCCTCAGACCCCCAGCCCCAGGCTCCCCACAGCCCAGTTCTAAGGTTTCCCTTAGGGGGCAAAGAGCCAGAGAAAACACCTGAAGCGGGAACAGGACGGCCCCTTCCTAGCCCCACTCTGTGTCCCTTCCCACCCAGCAGCAGGGTTCCCCTCTCACTAAAGGAGCTGGTGTCCTCTGGGGTGCCCTGGATGCTTCCATCAGGATTTGCCTGGAGGTAGAAGCCCTGGCGGCAGAACAGTTTGGTGACAATGCCTTTGAGCTGAGGCTCTGGAGAGAGAGAGAGAGAGAGATTCATCTTTGAATATGACATCTCTGTTCCCCAGAAACATTCCTACACTTGGCGGGATCAGAGGAAAGAAAGAAGGGAGAACGCGAGGGGAAGCCAAGGGTCCCAGGCCCCCAGCTCTCTGACTCTCTAAGCAGGCTCTCCTCCACCTCTCTCTGCCTGCGGAGGAAGCCCGGGTGTGGGTCCTTGCCGCTTCCTCTAACCCTCAGCTTTCAGTTTAATTTATTGAAATTTATTTAAATAGCTTAATTCCTACTCCACTGCTCCACCAGTAGTGGGGGAGGGGAAAGGAGGGGAGAGGAAGGGGAGAGAGCCACCAGGAAGCAAAGGATGGAGGGAAGTGGGCAGGACCGCAGAAGGGACAGGGGCTAGTGACTGGGGCGGAGGGGCGGAGGGGAGGGGGGCGCCCCCTCAGAAGTGGGGATGGGAGCGGGCCCGACGCTGACTCAGCACCTGCTGCTGCGGCTGCCGCTCGCTTGGCACGGGCCTTGCCTTGGCCCAGTGCCGGCCTGTCTGACACTGACCCATCTGTCTGTCTGTCAGTCTGCGGGCTCGCGGGGGCCCGGCCCTCCGCGAGGCTCGGCCCCTCCCCTGCAGCCATGTAACCCGCCGGAGGTGGGGGACGCTCCGCTGCACTGAGGGGGAATGGGGGAAGGGGGCCGGGGAGCTAGTGAGGCGGGCGCAGTCACGTGGGGGCCGGGGCCGGGGCCGGCTCCGAAGGTGGGCTGCGGACCGTACCACCTCGGAGGGCCGGCGGCGGGGGGAGGAGGGCACGAGGGGGCTACCCCTCGGGGAACCGGCCGCGGGCGGGAGCCGGGCCAGAGGGACTCCCGCCGCCCGTGCCTGGACGGGGACCACGCGCCAACCCTCACAACTCTCCTCCCCTGCTGCTGACTCCCGGCCGACTTCCTCGTACCCCCTCGCAGGTGGTACGACCCCCCAGTCTCCGAGCGGGTCTCTCGGCCCGTGCAGGGTCTGAGTTCCTCACGGCGGAGGGTTACCCGAGCGTGTGCGAGCGGGTTTCGGAGTCGCCGGGAGAGGGTGGGTTCTGGGAGTATGGCCGGCTTCCCTCTTAGAGCGCAGGTCACCGAGGAGGGCGCTCGGAGGGGCGGGCTGGCGAGGTGGCTGCAAGGACACCCGGGGGAGAGCTGGGGAGATTGGCGCCCAGCCAGGCGGGCACGGCCAGAAGGAACGGAGCCAAGGCGTGGAGGAGCGGGAGAACCGGGGCGGGGGCGGGGCTGCCGGAGCTGCAGAAACACTCGGGGTGACCCAGGCGTCCGGAACCCCCAGGCCCCTCCACTCGGCTTTGAAAGAATCGCGAGAGCCGGCACGTAGGCAGCGGACGGTGGGGGTGGGGACTCCTGCGTTGGGTGGGGGGGCGAGCCGGGGCCGCGAGGCTCGGGAGCCCGGACCTAGCCCCTCAAAGCTTTCCCCTTGTCTTCGACAGCAAGGAGACTCGGGGTTATGGGCAAAAGAGAAGGGAAACTGAGGCACGGTGTGGCAGATACTGTGTGGTCCCGGCCCACCCTCCTTGACTTTCGGGGACCACCCCCTCAGTCGGGCCCCATCCTTCGGAGTCCCTGGCCTCAACCTCCCAGGCGGAGAGACCCCAGGCCCGGGGACCCCGCTCCAGCCACTCACCAGGGCCGCGGTCCGGCCGCGCGGGCCGCCCCCCGCACAGTCGCACCTTGGACAGCAGGATGAGGAGCTGCTTCTGGCAAAGGGACTTGGTGCCGCGGGGACACACGCGCCGCTGCGCCGACACCGGCCGGCTGCCCCCCGGCTCGCGGACCTCCCGCTTCTGCCGGATCAGGCTACTGGCCAGAGCCGCCATGGCGCCCCGGGAGGAGACACCCCCAAACTGGCAGGCGCCCGGAGCGCGCTGGGCTCCTCAAAGAGAAGCCCGCTCACCAGGGCATGCTCTTGACGCTGAGGTCCCAACTCACCGCCTCACTCACAGGACCCGAGGATAAGCCCCAGGCCTCCCCACCCTCCAGCCGCTGGCTCCCACCCTTGGGCCCCGTTCTAGCTCCACTCTACCCAGCAGCCTGTAAATCTCTGTCGACCCCACCCTCGACTTTTGGCCCCTACCGAAAACTACTCCCTCTCCTGTTCTGTCCTTCCCCGTCCCCAGATCCCTTAGGCCAACCTGAAGACCCTCAAAATTCCCAAGATGTGGTTCCACTACCCCCAGTCACCTTTCCACCCTATTTTGGGGACCTGCACTGCCAAAATCCACTCCTATAATCTAAAGGGTTCAAGTCCTTAGCTTTGAATATATTAGCTCAACCCCATCCCTACTGGGGCACTGTCAATGTGAGGGAGGGACCCAACCTTCGTGCCTTTGCCACCCTCTAAATGGAAAGGATCCTCCACTTTTTTTCCAGTTAAGTCCCCCAAAACTATGTCTGGGAAAACCCAGGCTGTCCCCGTTCAGCGACTAGGGGTTCCTGGGCCCTGTCTCTGGACAATACCCTGTTTTCACCAAGTCACCCCCATTTCTAGTGGCACATGGTACAGCTGCTGATCCCCTTTCCTCACCTTGTTACCCTCCACTCCTTTTGAAGTCACCTCCAAATCCACCCTTCCCAGTGGATACACCAGGTGGTTGTCTGGAGGGCCTCTGTCACCTCGAAATAAGGAGCATCCGGTTTTTTTTTTTTTTTTTTTTCCCTGATTGCCCCTTAATTTCCTCGGGGACAGCTGGTGCTGTTTAGATCCCACGCCCCCTCCCAGAGGAGTGCACCCACGTTATTACCAGTTCCCGAATGTGAACAGGCCCCCTACGAGTCAGAGTGCATCAGAGCTTTCTGCGACAGGGCTTCTCATCTTCCCCTGGACAGCCTAGAGCACCCCCTCTTCCTTCCCCGACGCCCCTCGACCTGTCCTGTCTCGTTGATCCGGCGACGGGTGGCGCTGGCTTCTGTTCCAGGCTCCTCCCTCCCTGTCCCTCACCAGCCGAGCTTCCCCCAACGCCGGACTAGGCGCCCCGGACCCCCAGGAAGGAGGAAGGATGTCTCCGCAGAGCGCCCGGGTCCGGCGAAGTCAGAGCACTGGGCCGGGCGGCTGGACCAAGCGGCGGCAGCGGCAGCGGCAGCGGCAGTGAGGAGCTGAGGAGGCGGCGGCAACAGCAGCTCCCCCTCCTCCGAGAGCCGGCCCGGGGGCGGGGCAGGGGGCGGAGACGCCGGGAAAAGGGGAGTGCAGCCGGGCGGGCGGGCGGAACCCCAGGGTTCCTCGGAGGCCGGGAGTGGGGACGGTCTCGGAGGCGGGTGGAGCCGAGGCAAGGCCGCCCGTCTTGGGGGTTCAGAGGAGGAGACAAGGAGGTGACTCCACTGAACGGAGCCCTAGATGGGAGGGGAGGTTGGGCTTCGGATAGATGGAATGGCGGACGCTGGGAGAATGGAGAGAGGGTCCCTCCTGCCCGGCTTGGGAGGGCAGAAACGAATGAGGGAAACCGGGTAATAACGGAGTAGGCGAGGGTGGTGGTGAGAGCCAGCCCTGGGCGCAATCCGGCCCTCTCAATCTCCGATTTTGCGTGAGCCAGATTGATCAGTCCCGGGTCTCCACACCTTCCTTTTGCGTCTTGTCAGCAAATATACACCCCCACCCCTTCCCAATTGACTCCTAAGAGAAAAGACCAGAAAAATTGGGGAAGATGGTTGCCAGAGGATGCGCCAGGCTGGGAGGTCTGCTGGCCGCAGATCTGAGTAGAGATGCCAGAAATGGGACGACCTGGGCCAGGAACGGGGCAGGAGGATGGGGAGAAGCCCCGAGGAGGCCTTACGGGCTGTGCTCAGCGCGTGACCTCGGCGAGGGGCTAGCAGCCCCCCCCCACATCCCGCTGGCCAACAGAAGCACTTGTCCATGCGGGTAGGAGCAGCGTCTTTAATGGGCCCCTCCTCCCACGCCGGCCAAGCCGCCCCCCTTGCGTGCAGCCTTAGCCTCCTCCACCGCGGCGCGCAGGGCCCCGACAGGGTCCCCGCGGAGCCGGGCCAACGCCCCGAGCAGCGCGGCAGCGCCGTCCCCCGCGCGGAGCTTTCGGCTGCTCAGAAAATAGTGGGGCAGTGTCCCGGCCTCGAGCACACGGCCCAGTTCATCCAGCAGCCCGAGGCAGCAGGCGCCCGCGTTCTCGGGCCGCGCGAGATAGAGCGCGGGCAGCCGCTCGCACGCCCAGTAGAGCAGCGTCCGCAGGAGGTAGGGCGCCGCGGCCCGGGTCCCGGCCACCAGCGGGCGCAGCAGCGCCTGGGCCGCCGCGTGCGCCTGCAGCAGCGGAGCAGGGATGCGCGCCTTGAGCGCCAGCTCCTGGCGGGCGAAGCAGAGCTGCCAGCCGCAGGCGCCCGGCGGCTCGGTGTGGCCGCCCGGCACCAGGTAGAAGGATGCCGACTCGGAGGCCAGCGGCCCGGCCCACGAGTGGCTCCGGGCTCCCTCGGGCCAGCCGGCCACGGACACTACGGGAATTAGGTCGAAGAGCAGGAGGTGGCGCGGGGGCCCCGGCGTCGCCAGGAGGACGGTGGTGAACCCCGCGTGGCGCGCTGCGTGGACCAGACGTGGGGCTCCCGGGACCGGGATCAGGGACTCTGCGACCGCGGCCAGTGAAGCGAAGAACCACGCAGCCACCTGGGCGGGGCAGAGGGTGGGCCACGCCTCCCAACGCTCCGAGGGCCAGGGGATGGGGCTGACGACGGCTGCTTTCCTGAGGTCACCATTCAGGGTTTTCAGTGGGGTGGAAAGCTCCAGATCGATTACGTCTTGTCCCTCTGGTCCAGATGATTTATCCAAAGACACGGTTGGCTCAGGCTCAGTGCCATCGTGGGGCTGGTCTACCGGGCTTTGCCGGTCCTTGGGACTTTCTTCGCTTTGGGTTCGGTGGACTGAATCACGTCCTCCTGGGGCTGGGGGTCCCAGGCAGTCCTGCCAAGCCTCGCGGACTGAGGTTCCCCGTATCTGCTCTGGGAGGCGTAGCCGCCCGAAACAGGACTCTGCGTCCAGTTGCAGCTCCTGCCCAGTGCCGTCTAGCGAAAACACGGGCACTAATAGTGTAAAGCCGGCATCGTAATGAGGCCCCCGGATGTAGGGGCCTAGGGGTGCAAGTCCCAGATCCAGGGAGCCCTCGCGAATACCACCACGAAGCAGCAAGAGCTCTGCTTGGGGAGGAAAGCGCGGGTCCCGACGGTGAACGAGACCTACAGGATAAGACGGGTTCGGGAAGGTGTGACTCAAAGCCCGGGCGGGGTGGGGAGGGGCTGAAAGCTGCGAGCTCCCGAAGGCAGGGAGAGTTACTCACCGAGCAAAGAGAAGACAAAGTCCTTGGCCCGGAGGAGGTCTGGCCCCGGCTTGGGCGCGTCACTCCAGCTTTCCTGCACACCCAGCTCCTGGATCAGCTGGGTGAGTTCCTGCAGCTGCGCCCCGGAGCAGAAGTCTATGTCCGTGAGCGGCCGGGCTGGGGCTGGGGGCGGCGGCCCCCACCAGGGCGCACTGCCCCAGACCGCGGAAGCCATGTGGTTCAATCGTTTGGGGGCTAGGGGGACCACGGACGGGGCGGGGTGGGGGGGGGAGAGACGCTTAGACGGCCGTTCCTCTGCTGCTAAAAGATAGCCGGCGTTCCTCTCTTCCCGAGGCCGCGAGAGTGCCCCAGGCACAGTTCGTCAGTGGGTCTGCAGCTGAAGGGCTGTGAATAGTCTTGAAAACGAACAAATAAATGCTTCCTTCGTCGTCGCCTTTTACTCAAATGCTGGTCCCCGCCCCCAAGGAGCGGCTCACCTGACTCAGCAGGTGTAGCTGTTGGGCCCTTCCTACGGGACGTGAGAGCCAGTCTCCGCCGCCGCCCCTCGTCTCCCTTCCCTTACCTCTTCTTCGGAAGAGGCTTGTGGTCTGCGGCTGCCCTCTTCGGGATAGCTGCAAGGGCTGGGAAGGGAACGGACCGAACGATTCAACAGGTAACTTCTTCCTGTAGCCCAAAGGCCACGCCCCCAAGTTGCGGTCACGCCCCTTTCTGGCGCCCGGGGGTGGTTCCGGACCCGCCCCGCCTCCCGCCGGAGCCCGGGCCCTCTCCGCCCCGCTGAGATCTCGCGCTGTCCTGGGGGTTGTAGTTTGTCTTCCGAGCTGCCGGGGCTTTCAGGCCACGCCTCCGCCTCCTTTCCTGTTCCGCTGAAGTAGTGCCTGATGGAAGTTGTAGTTTCTATGGAGATCGCCTGTTCTCTGGCTGTCATGCCCAGGTCAGCCCCGCGCAGACATTCTGCGGGGTTGGAACAAGATGGATCTGAATAGCAACTAATAATGGGAGACATAATTAGGGGCCTCCGCATCTCGTGTGAGTAGAAGAGCCCCGGTCATTTAGATCTAGGAGAGGGTTCGGCCATGCCATCATTAACTTCATTTTAGAGGTGACACTGCAGCCTGCAAAGGTTGCATATGGTAGAGCCGAGACAGAGAGGCATTGGAAAGGGGCTCCCAGCTAGGCGGGGAGGCATCTCTTTGGAGTCCGTGTCAGGCACCGTCTAGTAGGTGGTGACCCAAGAATAAACCTCTGCCTCAGGGAAGGGGCATACATCTTGGTGATGCCCACGTCAGACACACAAGCGCTGGCAGGGACACACTTTGGGATCTGCCAGCTCATGCATGGACACAGAAGAGTTATCAGGACTGAAAATCAGGTTCAGGTGAAAGGAACATGATTAGGAGAAGGACATTGCTTTCAGTGATCACTGCTGTCTGGGACACAGCTTTAGTTCGGGATGAGACTAGGAGCCAGACTGAGAAGATGGAACCATAGGAAATCAGGGAGGCTCACAGATCAGACCCATCCACTGCTAGACCAGGATGTCTCACAATCCCTTCCCACACCCCTTCCCTACTTCCAAAGCGAGACAGGCCTAAGTCCATGGCAAAGGACTGCGAAGGAAGGGACTCCCAGAATCCAGAGCTCAATTTGGAAAGCCCTGATCTCAGGGGTTTCTAGTCACTGTCGAAGAAAGCTATTTTCCCTCGGCAACTTCCAGCCCCAAAACACAGCCCGGAACTGAGGAGGCAGGTTTCCATATACCTGGTTGTGACACAAGAGACCAGATGGGGAGAACTGAAGGTTGGGCTCATTCTCACAGTCTGGGGCATCCCTGCATCTTCCCTCCTCCCCAGAGGGTGGTCCCTCATGCACACACACCCTGGGTTCTGTGGGAGTTTTGAAGGTGCTGGGTTTGAGTGACAAGAAAAAGGAAAGTTTCTCTAAACTCTAAAGCGTTGCTGTCCAATAGGATTTTCTGCGATGGTGGAAGTGTCCTTAATGTGTGCCGTCCAATATGGTAGCCACACATGGCTATTGAAGACTTCACATGTAGATAATGAGACTGAGGAACAGAATTTTAAATTTCCTTTTTTCGGGGGGCACCTGGGTTGCTCAGTGGTTGAGCATCTGCCTTTGGCTCGGGGTGTGATCCCAGGACCCTGGTACCAAGTCCCGCATCATGCTCCCCACAGGGAGCCTGTTCTCCCACTGCCTGTGTCTCTGCCTCTCTCTATGTGTGTCTCATGAATAAAAAAATCTTAAAAAATTTTTTTTTCTTCTTTTTCAAAGTAGGCTCCATGCCCAATGTGGGACTTGAACTCACAACTCTGAGATCAAGAGTCACCTGTTCTACCGACTGAGCCAGCCTGGTGCCCCTACATTATATTTAATTTAATTTCCATGTTAACAACCATATTTGGCTAGTGGCTACTATATTGGGCAACGCAGCAGTAGGCCTTGGGGATGATGGGTTTCACCAAGCAGCAATGCAAGAGCAGCAGGGGTAGGGCTAGTATGAGTCCCCATCAGGCCCTGTGGGTGGCCAGCATTAGGAATAGGGCTGGGGTGCATGGGGTCCTCAAAACAACCACAGAACACTTCTCTTGACTCTTTATTCCGGATGCACCTTTGTCCCCTCTTTTTCCAAGTTCCGCATCACACACTGATACCCCCACTCCTTGATGGTCTCCGGTAAGTTGCTGGATGCCTCTTGGCGCATGTGCCTGGGAGACAGAGCTTCACACTTGTCCCTGCCCACCCTGAACTGTCTCTGGCGGGCATCAAAGACCACATGCCCTACCCGGGTGCCTGACCCAGGGCAGTAGGGCTTCCAGCTGATTTTCGGAGGCACTGACATCTGGCGATAGTTCTGGCAGGCTGAGGAAACTATATCCACAGGACGGTATACCCAGTCTTGGCTACCTGCTCGCGGGGAGGACGGCTGTAGCTCTATCAGCACAGGTACCTCGGAGAAGGTTTGCAGGTCATTGTAGATCATCACCTGAGGCTTAGTAGAGCTGGAGTTCTGACTACTGGGGACAGAAGTCCAGGGGAGGTGCTGTTCCACATCCTCCTTCCGAGGGGGCTCCTCAGGTACAAATGACTTCATCAGGCTCAATGTTGACTTTGGGTTCTGAGGTTGACCCAAGACTTGGACTGAGTCAGTACCTAGAACAAGGCCTGGGTTCCTGTGGTGGCTGGGATTCGGGATGAGGCATGAATCCTTGTGGTGGCCTGATTCCCCAATAGGGCCTTGAGTCTCGGGGAGGCGATGGTCTTGGGTAAGGGCTGAGCCCTTCTGAGGGCCAGGATCTTGATTCATTCCTGGGTAGTTATGGAAGTTTGGGTCTTGGGTATATTCTGGGCTCCTGTAAATTCCAACGTCTTGTGTATGGCCACATCTCCTTTCGACTTGAGTGGCTGATGCAAAGTTTGGATTCTTATGGAGATCAGACTCTTGAATAAGGCCTAGGCCCCTGTGGACTCCAGATTCTTGGAGGAGGCCTGAATTCTTATAGTCTCCTGAGTCTTGGGTAAGGCCTGAGCCCTTATGGAGACCAGAGGTTTGAATCAAACCTGGGCTCCTGTTGACTCCACAGTCTTGGGCAAGGTTTGGGCTCTTCTGTGGGCAAGAATTTTGGGAAAGGCCTAGACTCCTAGAGACTCCCGGCTCATGGACATTACCTGTACTCTTATAACCTCCAGAATCTTGAGAATGGCCTGGGCTATTATGGAGGCCACTTGTTTGGGAGAGATCTTGACTTTTATAGAGTATAGCCTCTTGGTTTTGTTGTAGATTCCTATAGACTCCAGAGTTTTGCATAATGCCTGAGCTCCTCTGAATGTCAGAAGTTTGGGGAAATGGTATGTTCCTGTGGAGGCCAGAAGGTTGGGTAGGACACGGGCTCCTAAAGATAGCTGAATCTTGTGTAGGACCTAGGCTCTTTTGGGGGCCAGAATCTTGGGTAATGACCAGATTCTTATGAAGTCCAGAGTCTTGGGAAGGGTCTTGAGTAAGGCCTGGGGGCTTGTTTAGACCTGGATCTTGAACAAGGCCTGGGTTCTTACAGAAGCCTGGACTTGGGGTAAGGCCTGGGTTTCTGGCAACTCTCAAGTCCTTTGAAGGGCATGAAGTCCTTTGGAGGCCAGAATCTTGGTTGAGGCCTAGACTCTCCTGATGTTCAGGGGTTTGGGGTTGGATCGGGGGTTGGAAAGTCTTGGAGAACTGAGGAGGGATGGGGAACTGGGAAGAGGGGACAGTTTGAGAAGATGTGGAGGTCGGGGGAAAGGCAGGGGTCTGCACTGAGGTGGAGGGCTTCTGGTGGCCGGAGGGTTGATGAAAGACAAAGGACCTGGGAGACAAGAGAGGCAGAGACAAAGTGCAAGGTGGAGGAATGGCGCTCAGTGAGCTCTGGGTATTGGTTGGAGAATGAAAGCAAGGTTGAGAAGGTGTGGCATCCTTGGAGGAGACCAGGAATTTGGGGTAGACTGGGGTCTCAGAGTCTGTGTTTCTCCTCTCAGAACTGCAAGGATGGAAGCTGAAATAAGGGAAGGTCTTGGGCTGTAAGAACTTGTCTTTGGCATCATTTGAGATCTTCCATTCCACATTCCCCAACTCTAGGTAACCCAGTACGGAGCCTGTGGAGGGCTTGGCACTGTCCCCACTATGATGTTTTGACATTGGCTCAACTGTATCAGAGCCACACAGACCCTGCCCCTCTTGGGGCCTGGGGAGGGTGCCTCCGTCCTTTCTGGAATACCCAGAGTTTTGGGGAGGGCACACATGGCACAAGTTCCGCTTGCCCCTACGGGCATTGTAGACCACATGGCCAGTGGAGAGGCCTTGGCTGAAGGCAGTCAGGGTAGAGGGAATAGGAGTTATGATGGGGGTATGGGTGGTGGCAGAGATGGGAACTGGGACATGAGTGGTAGTCAGGGTCATGACCGAAGCTGGGGCAGGAGGTGGGGCAGGGGCTGGGGCAGGAGCTGGGGCAGGAATCCTGGCAGGGGTAGACATTGAAGGAAGGGCTGGGGCAGATGTGGGAGCAGGGGCCAGAGTGTGAGGGGCATGGATATAGGTTAGATGAGCATGGGACAGAGTGCAGGCTGGGGCATGGGCTATTACATGCTCAGGGCTGTGACCCAGGGGATGGGCTGATGTGTGCTCAGGGCTGTGGGTCTGGGCAGGAGTGTGCTGCTGAGTGTGCTCAGGGGTGAAGCTTGGGGAGTGGGTATGTGCCTGGACTGAGGTAAGATCAGGGACGTGGACCTTGGCGGGGATGTGCTCAGTGGCATGGGCTGGGGAGTGGGTCTGGGCTTGGGGGGTGGTGTGCTCTGGGGAACAGGTCTGGGCCTGGAGAGGGTTGTACTTGGGGGCTTGGGCTGGGGAGTGCATCTGTGCCTGAGGGAGCTTGTGCTCAGGGGCGTGAGCTGGGGAGCAGGTCTGGGCCTGAAGGGTGGTGTGCTCAGGGACATGGGCTAGGGAGGAGGTCTGGGCCTGGGCCTGGGCCTGGGCCTGGGCCTGGGGGGTGGTGTGCTCATGGCGATGGGCTGAGGAGCGGATCTGGGCCTGGGGCTTAGTGTGCTGGGGAGTGTGGGGTGGGGAGCAGGTCTGGGTGTGGGTGGTGGTGTGCTCAGGGGTGTGGGCCAGGGAGCAGGTCTGAGTCTTGAGGGTGGTGTGCTCAGGCGTTTGGGCCAGGGAGCAGGTCTGGGTGTGGGTGGTGGTGTGCTCAGGGGTGTGGACCGGGGAGCTGTTCTGGGTCTGGGCCAGGACATGCTCTGGGGCGTGGTCTGGGGTCTTGGTCTTGCTCTTGTGGGGCAAAAGGAGAGGGGCCATATCCAGCTTGCTCATCTTGGGTAAATGGGAAGGTGCCTCGTGCCTGGAAATAAAGGGGGTCCGGGCCTTTAAAACTGGGACCTGAGGGGCCTCCCCTGCTGCCATCGCCCCCTCCTTCCACAGTCCCCAGGGAGGGCCCAGGGGAGCCCCAGCATGTCCACACTGAGGCGGCATCCAGCAGCACCCAGAAGCCTTCTCTTCATTCATGTCTGGTACCCAGGAGTCAAGGTGGTTAGGGTGCCCATGCAGGAAGCCCGGGCGGCGGTGGAAGCGAGAGGAGACCCCCGAGCACATGTTCTTGGTATCCATGGAGCAGCGCACACACATGGGATGGCTGCCTACGCAGCTGGGTTGCTTGTCTGCCGGGAAAGGCGGGACGGGACCAGGCCTGGGTTCCTGAGGGCCGGGGGAAAAGGGGACAGGTTCCACACCCCCCTTGAGGCCCTGGAGGGTGGGGCCCGCTCACCTTTGGGGAAGAAATGATGGAAAAGAATCCGCAAGGAGCTCTTCAGGTGCCTCCAGAGCTGAGAGAAGCAGGGGAAGGGGGAGCCCAGGAGTGGGGTGAGCCCCAAAGCTGCCTGTTCAGCCACATCCCAGCAGCCCTCCCACCTCAGCCCCTTCCAGATCCCGGGGCGCCCCCAACCCTGTTGCCCGGCCACTGCCCTGACCAGAGTCACCACATTGATCCCCACGTTGAGCAAGATGAAGCTGCCCAGAATCAGAAGAATTGAGTCTCCTAGGTCCTGGCACTTCCTGGGGTTGGTGCCAGAGCACACTTGGGCTCCGTGGTGGGCTCGCTCACCCATGGCTGGGGGTCCCAGGACTAACTGGGCCCCCTGGCCCCCACATACTCACTAGGAGCCAGACTTCTCTGGTGCGGGAGGGGGAGAGGGATGGGTCATAATCGGGTGGGTGGTTGGGGTCACAATGAAGGCGGGGAGGAAACTGGAGGGCCTGTGATGGTCTGCCCTGGTAACTGGGAACTGGGAAGATCTGGCCTCAGAGCCCTGGGGGAAGGCCTGGCCCATTCCAGAGCCCTGGGGCTTCTTCCTGCCCTCCTGGCTCTGAACAGACACTGGAATCTGACCTCACTGTGTCACGTGGGGCTGAGCCTCTGAGCCCATTTCGGATTGGGGATGGGGGGCAGACCCCCAGAGCCAGTGCTCAGAGACCAGTGGCTGGGGATCTGCAGCCTTCAGATCTTAGAGCATGGTGCAGGACCCGGGGTGGGGGTGTGGGGGCGGCCATGCTAGTGGGATGGTGGGTCCCCATGGCCAAGAGGAGCCTCATGCCAAGGAGGGACGCTGGCTTCTCGCTTCAGGGAGCCAAGGGCCGGGGCCCAGGCTGGCAGGAGGAGTGCCGCTCCCAAGCCACAGAACACCACAGTGTTTCCTGGACTCTGCTGCTCTTTATTCTTCTCTCCAAGCCCGACCCCGCCACCCGCGTTCCCCGCTGGTCAGTGAAGCTTCCCAGTCCGGCTCCTGTGCAGGGAGGGCCTGGAGGCCGAGGTGGAAGGTGGAGGCAGAGAGCTGGCCCTCGCTCGGCTCTCCTGCACCTGTCGCTTCAGCTCCAGGCTGTCATACACCTGGTAGCCTGCATTGCCGCCTGGGTTCCTGCTGAGCGGCATGAAGGTGGGCTGGGCTTGGGGGGGCTCGGGAGTCTGGTCGGCAGACAGGGGCTGGGAAGAGTGGGGGAGCAGGGCCGAGCTGGGGGCTGGGGCCCGTTGGTATGAGGTCTCACCCAATATAGTGAGGGAGGCAGAAGCTGTTAGGGGGTGCCGAGCAGGTAGGGCCTCTGCCCATTCAGCCGCTCGGCGCCGAACCTCGTGGGGATCCCGGGAGCTGTAGCCCAAGTGGCCAGTGGATGGGTGGGGGCTGCGGTTGGGCTGGCTGTACGCATGGCTGGGGAGGCTCCGCCTGTGGGCCTGTGGAGAACAGTGCTCCCGGGCCTCGGGCCGGGAGCCCCGGGGCACCAGGGCAGAAGGAGGCTCAGAGCCCTCGGTGCCCCGCCGCCGCTGGTCCCAGGAGTCATAGAGCAGCTGGCCAGCCGAGGTGTAAGGGCTGTACCCCGTGGGGGCCCAGGAAGGGTTTGGGGGCAGTCGGCAGAGGGGTGGAGGGGACGAGCCCCACTGTTCAGCCTCCAGATTGCCCCAGATTCGGGACTGGGAACAGTGGGGCCCATAGGACTGCAGCCTCAGTTCTGACTTGGCCTCCACGCGCTTGGGCAGGCGGCGCAGCTCAGGGGAGAGGTAGAGAGAGGGAGGTGGCAGGCTGGCCAGGATCCCCCCCTGGCGGCCCCACAGCCCCAGATTGGAGGGCAGGCCCCTGTGCTGGTAAAGCTCTCTCCGGAGCCCCCAGGGGCACTTGGGGTGTGGGAAAGCCAGGTCATCCTCCTCCTCCAGGTAGGAGTCCAGGTCTTCCCCATCGAAGAAGGGCACGGGCCGCAGCTGTGACATCTTGCGACTGTGATGGTGGCTATGGAAGCCTGAGCGGTTGTGCCGGTCGTGCCTCCCGTTCTTCACCCCCCACTGGTGGCTGCAAGGGTGGTGATGGTGGTCAGGGCCGCGGCGGGGGCCGGGGCGGCAACTGCGGGGGCGGCGGCGGCTGCGAGGGCAACGGCAGCAGCGGGAGTTGTGACCAAGGTGGTAGGAGGAAGAGGGGTAGCAAGCAGGCGGGGCCATCTTCACCTCTACAGGGTCCAGGGTGCAGTGAATGTGGACATCTTGGGCCTTGGCTGAGGATTCTTTGGGGGAACTTTCACAGGCCTTTAAGATTTCATCTGGGGGTGACAAGAGTCCATGAAGCCCCAGGGCAATTGTCAGAAGAGCTCAGGGTGGGGAACGCTGCAGCCTGGGTTGTGCTGATGGCATCGGGGGATGGGGGGACCCCTACCTCTCTTGCTGCCATACTTACTTTTCCGATTAATCCAACAGATCACCTTCTCTAAGCCATTCTGGAGCCCCTGCCACATCTGGGGGTAGGGTAAGGTGGGAGTGAAGACCAGGGGGCTCTCAATCCTTCCCGCCCCTACCCCTACCTGGCTCCCAGCCAAGACCACTCCTGCAGGTGGAGGTGGGCCCCCACCCTCAGCCCTCTTCACCCCTGGGGGCGGTCCCCCACCATCACTGACCACAGTCACCACGTTGATCCCAATGTTGACAAGAACGATGAGGCCCAGCAGCAGGAGCAGTAAGTCTTCAGGATCCTGGAGATGTTCTTGGTGTTGGTTGCAGCACCCCACGTTGTCATACCAGAGCTGGTTTTCCATGGTGGGGGGGCCCTAGGGCCGCCTGGGCCGTCGCCCCCCCCCACCAGCCCGGACCACACTATACTCATCCGGGGATCTGGGGACACCTACCAGCTGGTGAGGGTGCTGGGTCATAATGGGGCACATTGCGGGGAGTCACAATGCAGAGGTGGCAGGTCTTTTATCTGCTAGGCTCTGCCTTTCTATGGTCTTTGCTGACCTTGGCTGCCCCTTGAGGGGAGTCCCATCCCCAGATAGCCCGGAGCTCAATCTGTCCCTGTCTCCACAGGGGGAGCTTGCTCAAATCAACCCCTGATTCCTGATTTGAAGATACAGTAGCTATAGTCTTAAGATGGTCTTCTTCGTAGTGACTGAATCATCCATAAAGAAATTTCCCCATTTCATTGTTCTTTTTTGAGACATTAAGGCAGCTTGTGGGTACTCTGCACCCATGCCTACCTGGGCCAGCAGCTAGGGTGACAGCAAGAGTCCCCTCTGGGGTCACCCCACTCTGCCGTTCCCTCCCTGGCCTTCCTGTTTATCATAATTCCTCTAGTGCCTATCCTCCCCACCCCTTCCTGGCAAAGGATTGCAGCCCTATGTGGTGTGGCCACCAAGGCCAGAGCAAGGCTGACTTCCACCACCCAGGTGCTTGCCACCCAGAATGTGCTCCCTCTCCTTCCTAACTACTGTCCTCCCACTGACCTAGCCCTCCCTGTTGGAAAACTGTCAGCTCCCTCCTTAAGAAAACCTCACGAGATGCACAACGCACAAAATAGATGTAATTGTTGATAGGACGAAAGGAACCTTCGTTCTGAAGCAGGTGCATCACTGGAGTCTGTGGACGTGGCGCCCTGGGGACCTCGAGTCATCTGTTTGCACCGGTGAGCAGCTTGGCAGAAATCAAGGAACAGCCAGTGCGCATTTCCCTTTGAGCCTCCAAACACACATAGTAGGTGCTCAATATGTACTCACTGAAGGGAATCAGTCGACTTAAAATTATCACTACCGGCGCTTGCATATAAGGGAACAGAGAAGCAGGCTGATTCACAAAAGGCCTGTCTGTCCACATTCCAGGAATCCATCTGCTATAGAAGGTGGGGTCCAGTTCCTTCGGCCCAGGCACACTCACATGGCTTCTCACTCCCAAGCGCACACGTGTGTGGACATGTGTACACATGGGTGCATGCCCATGTGTGATGCCGACTATCTAGGAGTAGGGTAGGGTCTGTGTGTCCCTGCTGTCCATGGACAGAATATTCTGATGAGTTCACACGGCAGACTGAGGAAGGTGAGGAGTCTGATGGGCCGAGCTGACTCAGTGCCCAGAGCGTCTGAGACCATGAAGCTGATGCCTGGTGTCTCTGTGACCACGAATAAGTCATTTGCCTTCTCTGAACCTTAGTCTCCTCATTGGTGACAGGCAGGTACTAATCAGAGGAGTTGAAGTCACAGAGGGAAGCCCTTGAGGATGTGCTTGGGGTTTGCTCCTCTGCTCCGACCCTGTACCTGCTCATGGGCCCTGGACTGGGGAATTGGGAGGGCCTGGATGCCCTCACACTCCACTAGCCCCCCTCAAAGAAACCAGGGCTTTGGGATCCCTGGGTGGTGCAGTGGTTTGGCGTCTGCCTTTAGCCTGGGGCGTGATCCTGGAGACCCGGGATCGAATCCCACATCGGGCTCCCGGTGCATGGAGCCTGCTTCTCCCTCTGCCTGTGTCTCTGCCTCTCTCTCTCTCTCTCTCTCTCTCTCTCTCTCTCTCTGACTATCACAAATTAAAAAAAAAAAAGAAAGAAAGAAACCAGGGCTTAGTGGAGAAGCACACCACGCCTTGTGGCTGCAGCCCAACCCCGGGCTCTAGCCGAAACCGGGCCACCAAGGGGCTAGGACCAGGGGGATGCTGGGATCTCTGTTCTAGCACAGGTCTGCCTGAGGATCTGGAAAAGGATTTGAGTGTGGGGCTGCTCCAGGCATGTAAAAAAACATGAGAGTGCCAGGTGGGAACCTCGGGACCCAGAAGGGGCTAGGAGCTCGGGGTAGCTGAGAGGTTGATGAGGGTTCTGAGGGCCCTGGAGGCCCCATTGGCAGAGGGATCCTTCTCTTGGCAACTGGGGCTCCCTGATGCTGTGTGGGCCCTGGCACCCCCCACACCACCACAAACCACCTCCTCTCTTCCTTTTATTGTCGTCCCAGTCACCTCTCTGTCAGGGAACGGTACACCCAGTCCTTGCCTGTCTCCTCAGCATTGCTGGATCTGGAGCCCAGGGGGTAACAGTGAGACAGGGCCTCCACCTCTCGGGTCAGCTCCTGGAGCCGCCGCCTCACATCACGGGCATCGTACACTACACGGCCCGAGGAGCGGCACCGGGGGATGTCAGGGACGATTGCTGGGCCCCGGGCAGGCGGTGGGGCAGGAGGGACAGGGGCGCATTGCTCCTGCTCGGCTTGGGCCCTGGGCCCCGCTCCGTTGTTCTTGTGGCTCAGCATCTGAGGGCTTGGGGGCGGGGGATTCACCGGGTACACATAGGCCTCTAGGCCCATCTCTGACTGCATCTCGCCTTTCAGGGGCCTGCCTTCTGTGGTCTGCTGGAAGCGAATGGTCTGGGGAGTGGGCTCCACAGCATCCTGGGGCCAGGGGCCCCAGAAGCCCTTTGTGGACCGGAAGCCTTCCCAGTCTGCGGGGTGATCCCTGTTGTGGGAGCAGACTGCAGGGTGCTGATGTGGGGACTTCTCCTCGTCGTCAGTGTCAGGGGCCCAGGCTACCGGGCGGTGGGCACGGCGGCCTGAAGAGCCTCGGTGGCGGTGGCGGCGAGTGGGTGGGGGAGTCACAGTCATTTTCACGGGGTCCATGGTGCATCGAAGGTGGACTGCAGGGGTGCTCTGCTTCGGAGGCTGGGTCTCCTTCCCAGGTGAGGATGACTTAGAAGCTTCTGCAGATCAAGGAGAGGCGAGAGGCTGGAAGGGAGGCTGGCTCCTACAGGGATGGAGGGGTAGGGTGCAAGGTGTTGGCGGGGGAGATGCTGCAGCACTATGGTGTCTGAGAGGGAAGAACGGGAGGGGAAGGGGCTAGCTCAGGGTCAGGGCTAGATGGCCTGGCCTGGTTTCTGCCTCTCTGGTGTTCCTGGCTCCCCACTTACCTTTCTCATAAACAATATGGAACACTTGGTGTAAGAAGCCACGGAGTCTGCGCCAGAGCTAGGTGAGGGAGGACACAATGACCCTGGGCCGGCCCTGGCCACCAGGCCTCCCGCCACCACTGCCATCTGGCCAGCACCCTCCCGCCTGACCCCACCCTGACCAGCGTCACCATATTGATGCTAATGTTAATGCAGATGATGAGGCCCAGCAGCAACAGGATGGAGTTGCCCAGATCCTGACAGTTGTTGGTGTTGGAGTTGTGATATGAGGCCCACCCGGGCCGTGGCCACTCAGCCATGGCCATGGGGGTCCCTAGGGCCACCGGGGCCCCTAGGCCCCCATCCCACACTGCACACAATATTCACGAGTCTGCCTGCCTGTCCCAGAGGCTCCTGTGGGCAAGCGGGTCACAATGATGCCGGGGCTCTCCCTCACAATGTGCCAAGAGGCAGAGTCTTGGGCCCCTGTGGATGACCCTCCAGCCTGGGCCCAGGCCTTGGCAGAGGCTCAGCCCTTCACCTCGAATGCCTGTCCTGTAAGCTTGGACTAGCTTGGACTAGCCCATGAGCCCTGTGGCCTGTTTGTTGGCCCCCATGAGTCCCAGCCCATTCCTTCTCCGCACTGGGCTCAGGCCCTGGCACACACCTGGGCCCTGATCAGAACTTCCCACATGACCCTGCTACCGTGGCAACCTGAGCCCAGCACCCATTCCCCCCTTTCCCTCGGAGCTCTAAGCAGCTCCCAAAATGGGCTGCAGGCTCGGATCACCTCCCTCTCCTCCTCACTGGCTGGAGTGGCCCAAAGACTCGGAGCCCCCCCACTCCCCTTCCACTCACCCCTACGCCACCCCCATCACAGCAGGCACAAGCCAACAGTTAAATTTTTATATTTACAATATTCTCTTCATCTTTTGCCAGGTTTAAAAATGTGTACAGAGCCGCAATGGGTTGGGGTTAGGGACATGGGATTGTCAAGGGATTGTTCTGGGGAGAGGGGCTGGGCATTGGAGTCCGTGGCTGAATCATGGGGTCCCCCAGCCCCCCTCCCATGCCCCAGTTTGGAGGGCATCTGTCTACAGGGTTCAGGGCCCAGGTCTCTAGCATTTAGAGGGCATGGCTGTTTGGAGAGGAGCTAGACCAGGCAAGGGAAGGGGTCAGAAAAGAATTAAGTTTCTGTGGGGGTAGGTGGCAGAAGGGACAGGAGGCAGAGTTCTGGGGAGCCAAGACCAGGGATTCTGGATCTGTGTGTCAGTGGAAGACGGCACCCCACCCCCTACTCCAGTTTGGCACTAACAAACTCACAAAATGCCAGCAGAAGAGGACACTCCCTCACTGGCGTCCCTTAAAACCCTTCCTGACATCGTCCTTCTCCCCAGAGGCCCAGACCTTTTCTCCTCGGGCGGTGTCCTCTCTGGACAGTCACCTCACACATGTCCTTTCAAACTGTCCCTGCTGCTGTCCACCCGAGCCCCATCTCCTGCCGCCCCCGCCACCTGTTCCTTGGCACAGCTGACCTCATTCCCCAACCTGTCCTGAGAAGCCTTTGTACCCCCTGCCTCCTCCCCTGCACCCTCCATGCCTCTTTCCTTGAGCTCAGGCAGCTGAGGGAAGGGGGCCCAGCAGGGTCCAGGCAGGGTACGGGGGGCTGAGGGGAGAAGGCGTTCTCACATTGAGAAGAGGGAGACAGACATGGGAAGAGGGACACTGAGGCAGAGACGGGAGGAGTGCGACGCCGTGGACGTAGGAGAGACACAAGCGGGACCCCCTTTCACTGCCACTTGCCTCCCTGGTATCCCACCTGTCCCTACATTTACCTGCCCTGGCCCAGGACTGGAGAATCCTTGGCACATTTGGGGGGGTCTTTCCCCCCCACACCCCTCAAACCCACCTGACCCAGTTTGGCACGGATGAGCAATGGTCTGAGAATGGAGGGAAAGGCTGTCCTTAGACCCCAGTGAGGGCTTTGGTCAAGCATGCATGGCCTCTGTGGGTGGCACACCATGCCCCCCCAACTTGGCATCTCTTGGGGGAAGAGAGGGGCACCCCTCCCAGCTTCTTCAAGTCTGTTCCCACCTGCTGGGTGGGGAGGACCTAAGTGCTAGGCCTCAGGCCTGGGGCTGCCTGGAAGTGCTGGAGAGGAAGGGACCGTCTTCATGGGGAAAACACGCATCCACACACAAGAACATGTTTGCACTCAGAGTGTGTCCTGGACCCACGAGACAACACGTTCCCAGGCTGCACAGGGATGCACGGATCTCCTCCCTTCCCCCCACCCAGCAGGGAATCTGTGTCTGTCTGTCTTGTCTGTCATCTGTGGGAGGCGAAGCCTACCCAGAGGACGTGCTTTATCTGACATGGGCCACGGGGGATAAGCATGCTTTGCTGGGGGCAGAGGGGGCGGGGGGCTCTGAGCGGGAGGGGGGGGGACGGCTGATTTCCTCGCTACCTTCCCAGGCACCACCCTGTGTCGTCTGGTGGCCCAGGGTCACTGTCCGCCAACTACGCCACTTCCAGGGTCTCCATGGGGTGTGGGAGGGGGGAGGAGGTGAGAGAAGGCATGAGGGAACAGGGGTCTGGGGTACAAATCCCCACAGAAATTCTTTGAGGGGGCCAACATGTGTCCAGGGGGGCAAAAAAAAAACCTCACCCTGCACATGGGAAAACACACCCCCTTGTGAGAAAGCACACCTCCACGCTGCCACACACCCAAGACTGGTGTCCCAGTGGAGGGGACCGAGTGCCCCCCAGTTGTTCCAAGGCCCAGGTCCAGAGAAGAGAACGGGCCTCTGGGCATGGGAAAGACACCCGTGGTGGTGAGGACGCCCATGTCCACCTGGCGCCCCTCGCCACCGGGGCCACACCGCGGGGTGACACGTCCAGCGCGGTGGCGAGGAGCCTGCGGCCAGTCCTCCTCCCTGTCTTCCGAGCGGCCACCGCCCGCTGGCTGGGGGTGCAGGGGGCTGCGGAGGAGGGCCCCCGCCCCCACGCCGCCCCCTATACCCGAGTGGTGGAGTGGGGGTGCGGGAGCGTGTTGTTGTGGCCGGCGGCGGTGGGGGGCGGCGGCGGGAAGGGCCCGAAGGGGTGCAGGGAGGGGGGCGGCGGCGGTGGCGGCGGCCCCAGGCCGCTGGGCAGCAGGGTCAGCGCCCCGGGGGCCAGCAGAGGCACGTCGTCCGGCGCCCGGCGCAGGGCCAGCGTGTAGTCGGGCGGGCAGGCAGGGCGCAGGGCCTCGGCGGGGTCCGCCCCGACGCCCCCCGCGCGCTTCAGCTGCAGCGACACCAGCTCCTCCTCGGGCGGGAGCTCCCGGCCTGCGGCAGGCAACAGGGGGCCCCCTGCCGGCACTCCCGAGCCCGAGCCCCCCGGGGGGCTGAGCCGCCGGCACCGCAGCTCCTGCCGCCGGTCCCGCTTGTAGTAGAGCGCAGCGAAGGCCAGGATGTTGAGGAAGAGCAGCGAGGCGCCCACCGCCACCGTGACGCTGAGCTCGGTGGAGTAGTCCCGGGAGTCCCCGGGGAAGCGGTCGTAGGCCCGCGGGCCCGGTTCGGGCTCGGGCTCGGGCGGCAGCGTGGCGGGCGGCGGGGGCCGGCGGGTGCCAGAGGCGCCGGGGGGCGGGCGCGGCGGCCAGCGGGTGGCGTAGGGCGGCAGGCGCGTGGTGGTGGTGAAGAGCTCCGTGTGCAGGTTGTGCAGGTGCGGCACCAGCTCCAGCCAGAAGGCCACCTTGTTGGCGCGGTAGTTGTCGCGCACGCGGGGCTTCAGGCCAATGTGCAGGTACTGCTTCTCCTTGCTGTTGAACTTGCTCCATACCACCTCCTCGAAGCGGTTGGGCTTGGTGTGGATGAACTTGGTGTCCTGCGGCACCGGCTGGTTGGGGTCGCTGCGGGCACAGGAGGGTGGGGAAAGGTGGAGTGAGGGGGAAGGCTCCGCAGGAGGGTGGGGAGGAGGGTGGGGAGACCCACAGAAGGGAGGCCCGAGAGAGAGAGAGAGAGAGAGAGAGAGAGAGAGAGAGAGAGAGAGAGGGAGAAACTGCCAGAGGCAGGCAGGGATGAGGGCAGAGGGGCAGAGATGAAGGAGAAGGGGCAGAGATAGGCAGAGATGAGGGCAGAGGGGCAGAGATGGGCAGGGATGACTGAGGCATAGAGAGAGGCAAAGAGATATCCAGTGAGAGAGGCCGCCTCTGAGATTGAGTGAGATAGACACATTTAGGAACAAAGAAACAAAGGACAGAGACAGTCAGGGGGAGACCAGCAAGAGAAAAGCAGACACACGGGCAAGAGTCAAGGGAAAGGTAGAGACATCAGTGGATTTGAAGAGAGAGACGTAGAGAGAGTGACAGAGACACAGACACAAATCCTCACAGATACACAGCCCAGAGCATCACATGCAGAGCAGAGTGCCAGGAGAGACAGGGGAGGGAGGAGGGCAGAAGAGACAGACCTGGAGCCAAAGCTACCCAGGGAGCACCCCTCCCCCAACAAGGACGGGCCCCTAGGATCTGACTCTGCTGAATCTCCAACAGGAAGCTCAGTGCCTGGCACAGAGAAGGTGTCCAGCAGGTATCTGGGTCAACAAGGCAATGATGGAGGAGTGACTATGAGGAGTGAGGGACAGGGCACTGAGCATGGAGGGGCTGTGTGCCTTGGCCTGCAGGTGGAGGGGCCCACCCAGCCCCACCGGCCGCCCTCACCCGGTCTTGGCGAAGTTGGTCCAGTAGGTCATGACCACAGCGCTGAGCATGACGTCATTCTTGGAGAAGTTGCAGGGGAAGAGGTCGGTGGCACCCACCATGGGCACGCCAAAGACATAGGGTAGCTCGTCCCCATGTGCTGCGTCTGCCCACTCCGGCCGGCCCTCAGCCTGGCAGTGGTGGTAAAAGGTATAAAAGTAGACGGGGGACTGGTAGTCAGCGTGCAGCTTGGCGGTGGCCACAGCTGGTGCCACCCACTGGTGGTCTGTAAAGAGCGCCAGCAAGGTCTTTCTTCGCATCTCGCCATTGTCCCGGTCGGCCCAGTCCGTGTACATGAACTTGATGGTCTCCCGAAGCACATCCTTGCCCTCAGGGTAGCCATACAGGTTGTCCACAAAGTTGGAGACGGTAAAGTCAAAGGCGCTGGCAGACACGCCATCCTCACTCTCTGCGGAGTCCTCCACGAACTTGAGGCCTTCTCCTTGGTTGACGCCAATAAGCATGTCATAGTTGAGGAACTCTCCCTGCTGCATGAGGATCTCGGGGTCATCGGGGACGACGTCACCATCCACCACGGGCCCAAAGGCGATGTGGTAACTGGGGAAAAGGGGTCAGCGTCTCAGCACCTGCTCCCCGGCCTCCTCTCAGTGCATGGCCTGCCTGGCCTTCTGCTCAGAAGACCCTTCGCACCCCTCGGTAAAATCTCCTGAGTCCTCAGGGCACCTGGCCTCCCGGGAAGTCTTCCCAAAAGCGCTCTGTGGCACCTGCGTGCACTCTGGGCACCTCCACTTAGGGAAGGAAGGCTTCCCAGAGGAGGAGGCAGGGCTGGCAGAGGGACCCAAAGCTCACATCTCCTTACCAAGCGGAATGCCTGTGGGCACCTCTCCCCATTAACCTCCTGGGAACCAGCAAGGTAAGGGAAGGCCTGGCCCCAGCCCTCTCCCACCCCCATACCGGGCGGGCTGTACATCCTGGTCCACCAGCTCCCGGGAGGGCTTCCGGCGCAGACACTCCACGGCTTCGGTGCTGTCCTCGCGGTCGCAGCCCACTTTGGCCGCCAGCAGGCGCGTGTACTTGAGCGGCTGGTAGTTGACAGACCAACTGGAAATGGCAGTGCCGCTCTGGGCAATGGCCTTCTGGAACAAGCCTGGCAGGACAGGCAGGCCTCAGGTAGGGCCACATCGTTAGCCCAAGGTGGGAAGAGGGACCTGGGAAGGGCCAGAGTGTGGGAAAGGGGATGGGAGGAGGGGCAGGCTGAGGGGTCGCAGGTACCTTCCGAATGGTGAGAGAGGATCAGAAGGTTGACACAGGAAGCCCCTGCCCCAGATCCAAAGATGGTGATGCGCTCAGGGTCACCCCCGAAGTGGGCAATGTTTTCACTGAGCCATCGCAGTGCCTGGATCTGGTCTAGGAGTCCATAGTTGCCTTTTGCAGCCTGGTCCCCGGTGCTGAGAAAGCCTGGAAGCAGACAAGGGAAGGGGCTTCCTGGGGGCGGTCAGAGCACCCTCACCCCCTTTCTGGGCAGCTCAGTGCAGCCCAGAAGCCATTCTGCTTCTGCTGGGTCTGGAGGAACACCACCCCCCAGGGCCCCCTCCCAGGCTCCAGCCCCGAGGATTGGCAGCCCACCCTCACCGAGCACCCCAAGCCGGTAGTTGAGCGTGGCTACAATGACGTTGCCATAGGCGGCCAGGACGGAGCCATCGAACATGTTCCCGGTGCCCTCCATGTAGGAGCCGCCGTGGAGAAACAGCATCACGGGCTTCTTCCCCGAGTCCCGGATATCTGTGTGGGGAGGAGGTGGGCGGTGGGCCAGGGTCAGGGGACAAGAATATAGTCAGACCAGAAGCAGCACCACCCAGCTCCCAGGCCTGTGGAGGACCAGCCTGGAGCTCAGGGGACATGTCACTCCTGTCCCTGGGGGGCAAGACCGGATTCCCCTCCCTCCCTCCCCATCTAGCCCTGGCGGAAGGCCCCACCCCACCTCCTGCTGGCCTGACCCAAGGCACTTCCTCAAATGCCAGACAGACCTTCCAAGAAGCTAGAGGTGGGGGGGACCCTCCCCAGGGCATCTGCTGGATCCAGGGGACCCCCTCCCCACACACACACAGCAAATCTCCTTCCTGCTCCTAGGTAGAGCAAATTCCCAACGCTGGCACTAGTGCTAGAGATGCTGGAAGGGTCCAGGCAGTTCCTCAGACTTGGGTCTCAGGTCCATGTGGTAGCCTGGTCTGTGGGTGAGGGGGTGCCAGCCTAGGGTCCCTGGGGGCTTAGTCTCCTCCCCGCCCTAATTCCTTTCTAGGTCACCTCCCCAGTTACCATGGCAACCCCCAGCCTAATTACTGTGGCAGGAGGAGGCAGGGTGGGAAAGAGCCTGCTTGATAAAGCCAGGGTACAGTTCTTTAGTCTCAGACCCACCCCCCAAACTGGCCTGACCCTGCACTGGGCGCCCCTCTTGCCACGACCCAAAAGGATCCCATTAATCACTGCCACTGAGGAGTCACAGATTCCAGAAGAGGGTGGGAGTCTGAGTGGGCTTGCCAGGGTCCCCAAGGCCAGTACCCTTTGTTACAGTCCTCCATGATTCAGCCATGGCGCAGGGCTGGGGTCACCCATGGCCCACTGCCCCTCCTCTTCCTTGACACTTGCAATCTCTGACTAGCCTGGGCATTCAACAAACCAGAGCCAGGCCTAGGCCTCCACGGCCAGTCCCCAATGGCTCTGCTTGCCTCCCTCCTCCCACTAGAAACTTTTCTCCTGCCTGCCTGCTGGGTGAGCCCACAGGACGCTAAGACACTCGCCTCCACCCCTGCAAGCAGCTTGCAGCCTCCAGTCTCTTAGGACCTTCTCTGCCACCTCCCTCCACTTGGTGGGCTCCGCCCTCTCTGTGTCCTCTCAGAATCCTGCTCTTCCCCTGGTTTCTGAACCTCTGGTGGCCTTCCAGCCAGACTCAGGCCAGAGTCTCCTCCCTGCCAGGCCCTCCTTTTGCCTCCTTACTTCTCCCCACTCTTCCCCACCCAGCACCTCCACTCCCGGTGTGGGGGGAGGGGGGGTCGGAAAGGGAAGGAGCAGGGAGGGGACCCCCCCGGCACCAAGAGTTCAAAACCAACAACAAAAAACAGGATCAAGAAAGAAGAAAGAAAGAAAGAAAAAAAAAAAAAACCCAACAACAACCAAAAAAGCCAGAAGCTCTCGGGGCAGATTCAACAAGAAAAGAAAAAACCAAAAACAAAAAAACCAAAAACCAAAAAGATCCGTGCTTTGTTTTGTTTTGTATTTTTTTGTTTTTTTGGAAAAAAAGAAAAAAAAGAAAAAAGTTCTTTGCATTTTTTTTTTTTCAAAATTTTGTGGTGAAACTTCAAGATATTGGGCCCTGTGTTCAAAAATTTCCGAATTCTTTCATTTGCTCCAAATGTTTGTGTTTTCTGCATCTGACAGGCTTTTGAAATTGTAGTAGGTTGGTTTCTGATGTTTCAATTAGGTCATCAATTTGCCAACTTAAGATATTTTTTTCGAATGTAGTTTTGCTCCAAATTAAAGTTGTTTGGTTTTGTTTGTTTGTTTGTTTCAAATGTTACATTTCGCAAGTTTCCAAACAGTCCAAATTGCTGTCAAACTCTAAACATTTTATCCAATTCTTTGGTGTGTGTGGTTTTGTTTTGTTTTGTTTTATTTTTTTTTTCTCGGACATTTCCAATTTCTTTTCTCACTTATATTTTTGGCCATGTTTAGCTTTTCTTGTAGGTTTGCTAGTGGGTCCAACATTGTGTTCGAATTTCATTTGAAGTTTTGAAGTTTTCATAATTCTTTTTTCCAATTAGTACAAATTTTTCTTTTCTTTTCTTTTTCGTTTTTAGTTGGGAGAACAACTGAGGGGGGCCTTGAGAGCTGCGGGGGGGCATTTAGTTAGGGGCAGGGCCGTGAGCATCCTCTTTATCAGCAACCACATGCAGCAGCGGGATTTTTAAATCTACCTGTGTCTGGCGGATTGAGCGTCGCCTCGTCACGTTTTTTTGTGAGCGGACCTAAGACCGGGAACACAAAACAGAGAAAAAAGGACAATTTTGTGGGGAAAGATGGGGGTCGGGGGAGAGGTGGTGGATGGGGAGGGGAGGACAGGAAGCAGAAAAGGGGAGGGTGGAGGGCAGAAAAAATAAGCCAAAAAAAGCAAAATTTGTTTGCAAGAAAAAGAAACCAAGAAAAGAGAAAAACGTTTCTACAACCCAAATTTGTTCCCCTCCCCGGAAAAAGTCATGCCCCAAAGAAAAGGCTGGTTTTGGGGGGATGGGGTGCCTGAGTGGGCTGAGGCCTGTTTTAAGACATATTGGCTTGGCTTGTCGAAGTGTTTGCTAATTGCTGGAAATGAAACGGTGTTAGAGGTGGGGTGGGAGGGGAGGGGAGGCCCACCCTGAGCCCTAGGGAGACCAAGGCCAGCTGTGCCACCAGGGCCACTACTCACTCAGGCCCTCTTTTGGCCAGCCCAGTACCTGCCTGCTCCCCCAGGCTGAGAGGGAGGGGCTGGGCAGAAAGGACCCATCTGGGGGCAGAGCATAGGATGGAGTTGCCCCCCCCCCCCCCCGCCCTCCGCCCTGCAGCTCACAGCCCCTGCTTGCCCTCTGCTCCCCACTGGAGGGCTGGGGCTAGGCCAGCTAGGGCCACCTGCCAGCCCGCCCAGTCTCTCACCCCGACAGCATTCCTCTTCCATCCGCACTCAAGGGGGCCTGGCTTCTCACCCCACCTCCCCAAAGTGGGGTGAAGCAGGGAAAGGGGTCATCAGGTCTTGCCCTCCATCCACCTCTTCCCTCTGCACCCCCAACCTCATCCCCTACCCATGGCTACTCTCCCCCCACCAAGAATGGTCGGTCAACTTCCCACCAGGGGCATGAGCACCTCTTCCCGATATTGCTCTAATGCCAAAAAGCCCCCCTCCCCAATTTGGGGTTCAGTCCACAAAGAAGGAACAGGAAACACAGTGCCTTGAGCGAGGCAGACACATAAGGTGCCAGGAGCTGCTGGGAGGCACAAACTGTTCCTCTTGTCAAGGAGAGGCCCCAGGACTGGGCTCAGAGTTTGGTTCCAGGCTTCTCTCAGAAGGGGGAATGGGTCAGGGGCCGATTCTGGAACCCAGAAATCAGAGAGGGTCCCTGCTGCAGATTGGTTTCTCTCACTGGCATGGGGAGGGATGGGTCGGCAAGGCCCAGGCCAGCCTCTGCCAGGCTTCTCCCAACTGGTGAGCATAGCCCCAAGGGACCATTAGGATTAGGGTCTGTTCTCTACAAGATAGGAATGGGGATGAAGTCAGCAGGGCATGCAGTGAGCGTGAGAATATTGTGTGTGTGTGTATGTGTGTGTGTGCGCACGTGCATGCACACGTGTGTGTGTGTATGCACACGTGCCCACCTGAGTCAACCTCTTCCTTGCAGAGCTGGTGTGAAGATTCAGTGAGATCACCTGAACGTGTCAGGCCCCAAGCAGGTCTGTGATAAGCGATGGTTAAAAATATAGAAGGTGTGGGCATAGGTGGTGCGGGGGCAGGGTGGACATTGTGTGTGGAGGTGTTGGGCCGGACAGCCCGCTAGGGGGAAGTCCTGGGAGGATGTTCCACATGAACATCCTGGGAGGTCCTGGGAGGATGTTCCACATAAACATGAGGGGCGAGGAGATAGCCCCCTGAGGGGGACACAGGCATGGAGAGCCTACATGGAGGTGGGAGGGTGGGTGGAGAGCCCATGAGTGGAGAGCATGGTGATGGACAGTCTGTGTGGAGTCCCTGGGGTGAGTGATTCACCTGCCATTATGAAGCGCAGGCTGTTGGGGTAGGTGGCCCATGAGAGGGCAGGGGGATGTGGAGTGGAGGGCTCTCACCTGGAGGGTATGGTAGTACTGGGGAGGCCATGTGGAGTGTAACGGAGTAAAGAGTCTACTGGGGTGCTTGGAATCTGGATAGGATTGGAGTGGATGCTACTTCTGTGTGTTGTGGGCAGGAGTTGCTAGGAGGCATGGTTTCCATGGGAGGGGTATTACTGTGTTAGGGTGCATGGCTGGTATGGGGAAGAGAGGGTGGATGGTTGGAACGGGAGGTGCTGGGAGTGAGGCGTTAGCATACTTGATCTGCGGGTTGGGTGTAGGGTTGCTAGGTGTGTTGTCACAGCGTGGGCTATGATACAGGTGATCTCCAGGTAGAGTTGGGTAAGTGATGCTTGGGAAGCGTTGAGGCTGTTGGGTACTGTGGTATGAGTGGCCACGTGCAGGCATTATTGAGGCCATGTGCAGGCATTATTGAGGCAAAGGCATTATTGAGGTGTTACTAGGACACACAATATATATCTATGGACACTGGGGTGAGAGGGTACACAATTTCAGAGGCACTGGGAATTTTGATACATGGGATGATGGAGCACATGGTCCGTGCATAGGTTGGTTGGGTACATGACCCGTGTGCTGAGAGGTTGAGATTCCCATTGCGTAGTGGCCCTTGTGGTGGGTATTGGGTGCGTACAGGGATTCCTGGGTACCAGGCCTGTGTGTGCAGTTGGCAGAAAATGGCCTGCGGGAGGTGCTGTAGTAGAGGGTCTCTGTGGAGATGTTGTGTTCTGGGGGAGTGATGGGGAGTGTCAGAAGCATAACCTGAGGCCATTTATGAGGCTGGGCTTTGGGGCCCACTAGAGTCCTGCTGAGTACCTCTGTTGTAGACATCGGAAGGTACCCTGAAAGATACTGTGTGCTGAAGGTTGGCTAGTGAAGAACTTTCGGGGGGAGTGTGCTGGGGGCCGTGAGCACCATGGCAGCGACCTGGGGAAAGCTCCTTTACAAGGACAGAGGCTGCTGAGCCTCCTGAAGGGAAGATGTCCTCAGGGGGATGGGCGTGCTGTGTTGTGAATGGAGGGGCCCTCGACAGGGAGCTTCCTTGATTCTTCAGGGGTGCTCATGGGGGCCTAGGGGTCAGAGCTCTCCAAGGAAGAGGTGCTACACTCGGGTGAAGTGCCCTGAGCACAATGTGACAGATGGAAGTGTGCCCATGCACACTTGGAGGAAAGGTGGAGTCTCTGTTGTCCAGCATGTGTAGAAGAACCAAAGTGTCCCTTGGGGACAAGCCAAGGCCTGGGGCTGGTAGGTGGGGCAGGGCTGGAGCAGGTGTCTAGGCAGAGGAGCGATGCTTCCGGTGCCTGGTGGCCCTTGGGGCCACACCGTGTGTGTGCCTTGGCGGGAATGGGGGTCTACACGCCCAGCTGGGTACCTACGGCTCTCTCTGGGGGTATTAGTCTGTGGACCAGTCCCTGGGGCTGCCCGGCAGACCCCAAACTGCCCTGGGAGGGACTACATCCCACAAAGGCTGGGTTCTGGGCCTAGACCCTGCAGAAGCCTGGGGGGTCTGTGTGTGCGGTCTGTGTGTGCTTTTGTGGGCAGTGTCCACAGCCCGGCCCAGTGCCCGCGCCCTTACCGTCCTCGGTGGGCACGTAGAGGTTGAGGTACAGGCAGTCCTCGCTCTGGTTCTGCACGTAGGTGGCGGCAGCTTCCAAGTTGTCGGTGAACCACACAGGCAGCATGATTGCAGGCAGCGCGCCGTGCAGGTTCTGCGGGCAGGCGGGCGGCAGGGTGGTGGCGTTGCGCACGCCGGGCCACGAGGCGGGGGCCTCGGGCGGCTGGAAGCGGCGGGCGCCCAGGGGTGGCGTGGCGTAGGGCACACCCAAAAACTGCACGACGGGACCCAGGATCTCGTTGTTGAGCTCGCGCCGCACGCCGCGCACTCGCCCGTAGGCCGTGTTCACCACCGGAAAGCGTTCCTCCCCGAGGCTGCTGAGGCCCAGGCCTGGGCTGCCCGGGGCGCCGCCACCGGGACCCCCTCCCCCCCGTTGAGCCCCTGCCAGCCCCACCAGACACAGCGCCAGGAGCCACATGCTGATCGGGGGACCCCCCCTCCCTCCCCGGGACCCCCCCCCTCGGAGAGAGAGAGAAGGGGGGGAGAGGGAGGGAGGCCCCCCCTCGCCCCAGTAGGGAGGAGGGGGCGGGGGAAAGGAGGGAGGAGGGGGGGCCGGGAGGGACCTGGGTTAGACTGGACAGAGAAAGGGTCTGTTCCTCTCCATGGAGGGGGCAAGGGGTGGGGAAGGGGAAGGAAGTGGGAGGAGGTGAAGGTAGGCCCGACCTGCAGGGAGGAGGGACAGGAGGAGGAGGGTAGGCCAGAGACAGACAGACAGACAGACGAACAGAAAAATACAGAGAAGTGGAAGAAGGGAAGGGGAATCGGACAGGGCAGACAGAAGGGAGCGGGGAAACAAGAGACAAGTGGTTAGTGACTTGGAATTCAGACCAAGTTGCCCTCCCTTCTTCCTCCCTCAGGTCCCCTGGCATCCCCCCCATCCCGGAAACCGCAGCCAACCCCCAGCCCCAAAGCAGGGACCCAGATAGAAACATCTAAGGCCAGGGAAAGGGTCAGGATGTGGTAGATGTCCAGGACAGAGCCGGAGGAGAAGGAGGACCTGCTCCCCAGATCCAGCATCCTGCCCCCCCAACCGTTCCAGCTGCTCTATCCCTCCCAGGCAGGCTCCCCTCCAGGACTCAGGAGTCCTAGTTCCCACCTCTCTGGGAGGGATGAGATAGACAAGGAAAAGAAAATAAAAATACCAAGTCATTAATTAGCAGGAAGTGGCGGGTTTGTTGATACGTGTTAATTACTCCAGAGCTATAATTTCACAGCACTGAACCCCCACCCCAGGCCAGACTCGGGCCTTTCTTGGGACTACCACAGCCTTCCACCTTTTCCTCCTGGCAACAGCCCATTCCCTAAGGATCAGTGCATCAGGGGAGGGGGGAACCCCTTCCCTCCAGGTCTTCCTCATTTCTTCCATTAGAATTTAAGGTGCCTTGAGGCAGGGGCTAGAGTAGGGAGGGGATGCTGCTGGAGGGGCAAATCCGGGGACAGATGCGTGATCCTGCAGCCGGTTGCCGGGCGACAGGATGCTGCCCCGCAATGTTACCTCGGCAACCGGCTGCAGCTTTAACCCTGGAGGGGGGTCTGGAAGAAGAGGGGAAGGGGCTGGCTGGGTTTTGGTGTACATTCCGGGCAGGAGGGCAGAGGCCTGAGTCAGAATGCTAGAGTTTTCCCCAACCTTACCATAGAGAAAGAAATGTGTGTGTTGAGGGGAGCGGGAGATTGGGGCATAGAAAACCCCTAAAAGATCCGCCTCTTGCTCCTTGTTGGCCAATCAGAGCCTAGCCCCAGTGACCAGGCCTCTGGCTGGGGAGAAGGGGTGCTGAGGTGGGTTTGGAGGGCATCAGATGCAGCCACCGGCTGCCCCCCGCACTCCCCCCCCCCCCCCAGTCTCCAACAGCCTCTGACCCCAGATGCCTCCTGCACGCATGACATTCTGACCCACGTCCTGGGGGCAAGCCTCGGCTTTCTTCTCATCCCATCCCAGCTATTTACCTCTCCTTCCCGGTGCCAGCCCCCCACAGTCGCTGCTCTGATGCCTGGATGCTCAGGACAGCAGGGGCAGGACAAGAGACAAGATCAAAGGGAAGGGGCAGACACCCAGGTCATTTCGGCAAGCCCCCCTGCCGTCCCCCCCCCCCCCCGCCCCCCCAGCCGCCAGAGCTGTTTGCTGACGCGGGGTTTTCGGAGCCAGGCGCCAGCCCGCGGGTGGCTCTCTGCAGGTGTCAATTTATTCCAGAGATGAGGACACAGGAATCCTTACCACACACACCCAGTCATGCCCTCCCCCTCTTCAGGTCCTCTTAAGCTCCTGCTCCCCCATCAGAAGGAGGGGGCTTGGGGCTGGCTCCCTCAGGATCTCCTCTGTCCATGCCAGGCTGGGTTCGGCTTCCATGGCCCCCCACCTCTCCCCCTCCTACTAACAGGGTCTGCCTCTGCTCCCCCCCTTTAAGGTACTTTGGAACCCTGACCTCCTGGCTGCCAGCGTCTCTCCCTTCTTCCCTCCCACTGGAGCCCTCCCCCCATCTCCCCTCCATAGCGCTCCCTCAGAGCATCTTTCCCGGCCTCTTCCAGCTTGCTCTGGCTTCTGCCTTGTCTTTTTCCATCTCTCTCTTCTCCACCTCCCTCCTCGCCTGTTCCTCATCTCTCTCTCTCTCTCTCTCTCTCTCTCTCTCTCTCTCTCTCTCTCTCTCTCTCTCTCCTCTCTCTCTCCTCCAAACCTCTTCCCCACGCTTCTCCCTTAAGCCCCTTCTCTCTCTCTCCCCTCTTTCCTACCTCTGTCCTCCCCATTTTGTCTCCCCATCTCTGTCTGCCACATCTTGCTCCCCCCTCCTTCTCCCGATCCCTCTGCCTTGCTCTCCCCGTTTCTGCCCGGGGCCGGACTCCCCCAGCCGGGGAGAATTGAGGGAGGGGGGCTCAGGCCGCAGGCCCCCCTTTCCTGCAGTGGGGAGAATGGCTTGGCCAGGAAGGGGAGGAGGAGGGGGAGGGGGAGATGGGAACACACGGGGTCTGTGGGCCCATTCAAAGGATCATTCATGGGCTGGGGAGAGGCAGAGACAAAGAGACCGAGACGCAGAGACACGGCGAGAGCATCCCTAGGCGGAGACACGCAGACAGAGCGGGCTGGGGGAAACCAGGCTCAGGGAGAGAGATGGGGGAAAGGAGACCCCAGTGGACCACCACGCACTCCCCCCCCCTCCACCCGGCCCGGCTTAACTCCTACCTGGCTCAGCCCTGGGGCCGTGGTGCCTCCATCCAGGGCTCCGAGTAGGGGGCGGACGGGCTTCGGGAGGGGGGCGGCGGCCTCTGAGCCCCCGCGGCCCCGCAGGCCCAGCCCCCGCCCGCAGCGCCTCACCGGGCGGGGGAGGGGGATCGCCCCAGCCCCGGGGGGCGGGGCCGGGATCCAGTCGATCCCCGGGGAAAGGAGAGATAGGGGATGGGGTCAGGAGGAATCCAGAACAGGGAACCCCGCAGTGGAGCCGCGGAGCGAAGAGGGGGCAACGAGGAAGGACTGTATTGGGGATCCACAGGCTCCGTGGGCTGGCTTCGTAGGACCAGAAGGCGGTAGAGGCGGAAGATCCTAAGGGATCGGGTGCGGGAAGAGGTGTCTACGGCAATCCCCAGGGGCCCAGAGCCCGGGAGCGCAGGATCCGCGGTGCAGGGGCAGGGATCCAGCCGGAATCCTCGGGAGGGGGAGGGATCTAGTCGATCCCGAGGGCGGGCGAGAGGGGGAGGTTCAGGGAGTCAGAGGAGGGCGGGAGCCGAGTCTAGAGCCCCGGAGTGGGGGTCGGCAGCGCTCCTAGGAGGGGAACCGGGGGCAAGGGGGAGGCTTCGGGGGCCGCTCAGCAGCCGGGAGGCCCGGACTCCTGGCTCCGCGCGCCAGGGCCCGCCCGCCCCGCGTCCATCCCAGCCCGAGAGTGATGATCCGCCAGCGGAGCAGCCGCAGCAGCCCCGCGCGTCACCGCGCGGCCGCCTCCCCCGCCCCCTGCGGAGAGAGCGGCGCACACCCCTCGCTCGCACCCGCCTGCCCGCCCGCCCTCCAGAGTGTGGTGGGATTGGAGCCGGTGGAAGGGGGCGGGCGCGGACAGGCCAACGGCCAGCCGGCCGGGGCGGCCGGGGCAGGGGGGAGGCCTCCCCCCTCCCGAGGTCGCCCACCCCCCCGGGCTCTGGGGGTTGGTGGGCTGGGGGCGGCTTGGAAGGGGGTGAACTCTAGGGGGCGGGGCATCATGTGAAGAAGGCGGGGCCTCGGGTCGGTGGGAGGAGCCATCTCGACAGCGGGCGGGTTTTGCCGGCGGTGGATGGGGCTTGACTCCCCGAGCGGCCGCCTCTTTTTGGGAGTGAGTCTGGTTTCAAGCTGTAAAGGAGGAGCCAGTGGGGAGAGGGGCGGAACCTTGAGTGGGGACCGGGATCTTTGGAAATGGGCCGGAGGTTGGGGGGGTTGGTGTTCGAAGCAGCGATCAACTTTGAAAGTGGGCCAATCCGTGACGCAAATCCTCTAGTCCCGCCTCGCAGCCCCGCCCCTACTGCTCCGCTCCTCCGCCTCTCATTGGCTGTCGTTTCTCCGCCCGCCAGCCCGCCTCGCCACTCAGCAGAGGTTTTACAAAGGCGCAAGTACCTGAGTGAGGACCTAGACGCCGAAATGAGCGCGGCCCGGATTGGGCACCTGTGGACCTTATTTGCATGGCAGGCCGGGATTGGCTTGAGTCTTGGGCGACCTGGGCGGTGTTGGGCCGGCGCGTGACCGTCCGCTGCCATGGCCGGGTTTGGGGCAGCTTTCCGCCGTTTGGGCGCCTTGTCGGGAGCCGGGGCCTTGGGCTTGGCCTCCTACGGGGCGCACGGTCAGGGGGCTGCGGACGCCGCGGACACTGCGCTTTCGACGACCTGGGTGGGGGGTGTCTAGTGCAAGGGTGGGGTCTGTGGGGAGTGCCAGACAGCCCTCGGAGCCCTGACCCTCTTAGAGCCCCCCAGCCGGGTCCAGTCAGGTTTCCAGAAGTGCCCATGCGCGTTTGCACCAGTCGGAAGCCTCCCGGGGACGTTCCTTCTCTCCGGTGTGCCCCCGGGTCCCGTCGCGCGTTGGGGCGGTGGAGGCGGGCGCTCGGACTGGTAACCTTTGCTTCTCCTTCCACAGGCGCCCAGTTTCCGGATGCCTACGGGAAGGAGGTGAAGTAACTGCTCTGGAGCTCCCCAGCTCCCGGGGCTCCGGGCGCCCAGAGTCCGGGGTCGCCTCAGGGAGTAGGGGCGGGACGGGGCGCGGGGCTCCGGAGCGTGGGTGCCCGTGGGCGAGGCCAGCTGGGACTCCAGCCGGGGGACGAACGGGGTCTAGGCTCCAGCGTTGCTTAGGAAGTTCACCCGCACCCCACCCCCACCCCTCACCCCACCCCACCTTTCTCTTTTTTCTTACAGCTCTTTGACAAGACCAACAGACACCACTTCTTACACAGCCTGGCCCTGTTAGGGGTGCCCCACTGCAGAAAGCCCCTCTTGGTAATCCTACCCCCTCGCCCAACCTTTGTCAAGCCCCGCCTTGCCCCCTTTTGGTCCCCTTTTCTTACTCGCCTGTATTCTTCCCTGTGTATCCTTCAGGCCGGGTTACTGCTAGCCTCTGGAACCACCTTATTCTGCACCAGCTTTTACTACCAGGCTCTGAGTGGAGACCCCAGCATCCAGACTTTGGCCCCTGTAGGAGGGAGCCTGCTCATCTTAGGTTGGCTGGCCTTGGCTCTTTGAGCTTCCTTGTATTTGATTTCTGGGTACTTCTTTGAGAGTTGGAGCAAGGAGGGGATTAAAAGAGAAAGGCAAATAAAGAACTTGAGTCTTTGTTCATCTTGGAGGAAGAAGGGTAGGGATTGTCAACCTCTGAGCTCGCTCCCTTTCCTAAGACTGAATCTTGGCTCTGGAGATAGTTCACTTCAAGTTAACTTTTTATGAAGTTCTTAAATCGATGGGCAGAGTCAGAGAGAGTGCTGGAAATAAGGCAGTCTCACTGAAGTGCTCTTTGGAGTCTGGGATTCTGTGTTCTGATAAAGCCCATCATGTGGTTCTGACACCCACTAGAATTTGAAGATGACTGTAGGGTAGTGGTTTTCAGCTTTGTCCACAAATTTATTGAGAACTTACCCTAGAAGTCAGAGTGAAGGCTAGGCAGCACAAGAGGAGTGCCCTTAGTTCTAAAATATTTCAGGGGATCCCTGGGGGGCGCAGCGGTTTGGCACCTGCCTTTGGCCCAGGGCGCGATCCTGGAGACCCGGGATCGAATCCCACGTCAGGCTCCCGGTGCATGGAGCCTGCTTCTCCCTCTGCCTGTGTCTCTGCCTCTCTCTCTCTCTCTCTCTCTCTCTCTCTCTCTCTCTGTGACTATCATAAATAAATAAATAAAATAAATAAAAAAAATAAAATATTTCAGGGTTCAATCTAGGGACAAATCAACATGTATGGGGGGGGAGGTCAGGAAATGCTTCACAGTGCTTGAGACGATCCTTAAAAGAGCTCTATTGCATGGAGAAAACTGTGAATAGAGACAGAGGTGGGAAGGGAGGAGTAAGGGGCTCCATGATCTTCATTCAGTGTGGGCGGAATTTCTGAGTTAGGCAGGAGAGTGAGAAAAAATGGCAAGGCAGGCTGGAAGAGCCCCCACAGCATGTAAGGAGCTGGAGGCGATATAGGGGGTGGTGCTTTATGAAGCTAGTGCTCATCAAGTGTTAATAGTGTGTCAGACACATGTTACGAGGAAATTCAACCGCGAACAAGGCAGATGCCATCATTTCCCTGTGGCATTTCCCATCTAGTAGTGGAAGCGAACAACTCAACATACAAATGTGTCATTATGAGTTGTGCTTTGTGCTTGCAGGAAGAGAACAGGGAAGCAGATGGATGGTGAGGGTAGTGGGGGGTGTGCTCCCTTAGATGGGAAGGCCTCCCAGAGGAGGTCCCACTGAAGCTGGAGCCAAGCATATACAAAGTTGGAGGGGAAGCATAATCTAGGCTGAGAGAATAGCTGGCAAATGGGCTATAAAGGAGCAGTTCAAAGTCCTTGAGGCAGGAGAAAAGCCAGCGAGTTGGAGAAAGAGCAAAACCAGTGTGGGGCACCTGGGTGGCTCAGTTGGGCGTCTGCCCTCAGCTCAGGTCAAGATCCCAGGACCCTAGGATTAACCCCCGCATTGGGCTCTCTGCTCAGCAGAGGGCCTGCTTCTCCCTCTCCCTCTGCCTGCCGCTCTCGGCCTACTTGTATTTTCTCTCTCTCTCTCTTTAAAAACCAAAGCAAAACAAGCCAGTGTGGCTCAATGGGTAGTGATGCAGGGCCCCAGATGCTCAGTGCAGGCTTTTGCAGGAAGTGGTAAGCACATAGAATTCATCTGTAAGTCAACAGTAACTTGTTGAAAGGTTAAGGTAAGCATGCTAGGATCTGTTTTATGCATTTCAAAGACCTGGAGAATGCATCAGAGGAAGGCAAGGATGGCTGTGGGGAGACCAGTTAGGAGGCTCAGGTAGGAGATGATGGTGGTGGCTTGGCTTAGGGTTGAAGAGGTGGTCAGAAGGGCCCAATTCAGAATATACTTTGAAGGTAGTACTGATAGGACCCGCTGATGGATCAGATTTAAGGGGTGAATGAGCAGGAGACTTCTGGTCTGTACCCCCAGCTGGCTGGAGGCACCATTACTCAGATAAGAAAAACTGAGGGAAGAGATGGGGGGAGGCAGGTGTGCAGGGCAGTTTTGGGCAGGGTTGCTTCTGAAATGCCTGGGATGCATACAGGCATGTAGCTGGGGAGCTCAGGGAAGATCTGGACTCAGGTGTCCTCAGCACCCCAACTCTAGCCAATCTTCCTTCCCATCTCTTCGCCATAATCGCCCTTGGAAGGATCTCATAGGTCACTAGGGCGTCCTAGTTGCCCGATCCAATGGGTGACTTTCCATCTCGTCTTCTTTGGCCTCTGCAGCATTTGACACAGTTGGCCACACTGTCTTTGAAACACATTCTGTTGCTTCTCTGATGCCACTCCTAGTTTTTCCTCTCACTGTGGCCGCTTTGCCACCGTCTCCTTCACTACCCGGTTTAAATCAATGGTTTTCAATTTTTTTTTTTATTTATTTATGATAGTCACAGAGAGAGAGAGAGAGAGAGAGAGGCAGAGACACAGGCAGAGGGAGAAGCAGGCTCCATGCACTGGGAGCCCGACGTGGGATTCGATCCCGGGTCTCCAGGATCGTGCCCTGGGCCAAAGGCAGGCAGCAAACCGCTGCGCCACCCAGGGATCCCTCAATCAGCATACTTTTAAACCTAGGATTTCAGGCAGCCCAGGTGGCTCAGTGGTTTAGCGCCGCCTTCAGCCCAGGGCGTGATCCTGGGGTCCCGGGATCGAGTCCCACGTTGGGCTCCCTGCGTGGAGCCTGCTTCTCCCTCTGCCTGTGTCTCTGCCTCTCTCTCTCTCTGTGCCTCTCACGAATAAATAAAATATAAAATAAATAAATAAACAAACAAACAAACCTAGGATTTCTATCCCACCCTACTGAGCTCCAGACTCCCGTAGCAGCGGCAGTGTTGGCAGAATGTTCTGGGGGGGACCTGAAAGATGCGGTGATGTGGAGGGGGAGGGCTGTGTTCCAGACCCAGGCAGGAGCTTTCCAGGCAGCCCTGAAAGCAGAAGAGAGCCCTGTGCATTTGAGACCTGAGAGAATTCCTGGTGGCTGGGCTTGACGGCCAAGAGGGGGCAGTAGTGAAAGATGCGCAAAAGGACAGGCCAAATACTGGATGGCCTTGGGCTGAGGTGTTTGTTAGGCTCTCTTCTGAGGGCAGTGGGCAGCCATGGAAGCATTTATATCCAGGGAGGAGGCACGATTTGAGGTGTATTAGTAAAGCACAATATGTTAGTGAGGACCACAATAGAACCGCAGAGGGAACCTCCAAAGTGGCCCAGAGTGCCAGTGGCAGAGCCAGCACTGAACCCCAGGCTCCAGGCTCCCAGTCCAGGGCTCTTGCTGCATTTCCATCCTTCACCCCAGCCAGAGGGTGTGGGACAGGGAACAACCAAGTTGAGGAGACCCCAACATCCAGAATGGCCACCCTCTCTGTAATGTGATTCCCTAAGACCTCAGCTTTGACCCTGCCAGTGGGCAGGGTTCTCGTGGAGCCAGGGTAAATAGGCCTGCTTGGTAACTGGTCCCTGTTATTACTGCACAGTGCCTCCAGTTCTTAGCAGTCCTGCAACGTAGGGGGAAGTGAAGCCACCAGAGTTGGAGCAACTTGTTCTAGATCACAGCTGGGGCTGGTGTAAGCTGGGATTCCAACTTCTGTCCAACTCCCAAGCTAAGTTCTTTCCTTTTTTTTCTTTTCTTTTTTTTTAAAAATATTTTATTTATCTATTCATGAGAGACACACAGAGAGAGGCAGAGACACAGGCAGAGGGAGAAGCAGGCTCCCTGCAGGGACCCCAATATGGGACTCAGTCCCAGGACCACGGGATCACACACTGAGCCGAAGGCAGACGTTCAACCACTGGGCCACCCAGGTGCCCCAAGTTCTTTCTTCTTGTACACAGCAAGACACTCCGACTTCAGCAGTGAAGACAGATCCTGGTAAAAAAAAAAAAAAAAAAAAAAAAAAAAAAAAAAGATGATAATCTGATACCATGGGATCAGTGTTACAAGGAGATACTCTGGTGGGCTCCTTTTGCTTCTGGGGACTGGTAAATGTTTCTGTCCATCCGCTGGGTGTCAGTGTGAACAGTTCACTGGGAGAAAAGGGACACACCATAGTGTTAACATGTCAAGAGGGAGAACAGGATGGAGTGGCAGGCAGGAAATGACCAAACAGAAAGAGCAGAGGCTGACTGGGAAGGGCCTCCTGGGCCCACCCTAAGTCAACTTTAGTTGACTTTTTCTCCCAGTCTGTCTCCAGGCCATCACCAAGGCCTGTTGGCTGAATGTGTAACCACAATTAACCATTTCTCACCACCTGCATTGCTACCACTCCAGTCCCTGGCCTAAGCCCCAGGCATGTCCAACCTAGCTTTTTTGCAAGAACTTCCTTCTGCCCTGGGCCTACCTACAGCCTACTCTGGACAAAGCAGCCTGAGAGAGAGAGAGAGAGAGAGATCGACTGACCCTGTAACACGGTGGTCCTCAGCCTTTGCTGCACAGTAAAATCTTCAGGGGATTCTCAAAAGGTTCTACTGTCTGCATCTTACCCCGGATAATTGACTTGATTCTAATTGACTTGATAGGACCCGGGGCCCATGCAGAAGTATTCTGTAAAGCACCCAGATGATTCTGTCTTGTGGCCGGAGTTGAAGGCCCCTGTTTGAGTATGTAAGTCTCACATCCCTGCCCAAACCCTGCAACCCTTCCCATCTTACTCAGAGTCCAGTCCAGTGGTCTGCAGGGCTGTATGTGATCTGGGCTCCTGTGACTTCTCCCCCGTTCATTCCATTCCGGCCACACTGGCCTCCTTTTTGTTCATTGAACAAGTAATGCACACTTCTCTCTCAGGGCTTTTGCTTTTGCCATCTTCTCTGCCTGAAACATTCTTCTTTGGAAGTCGGCCTGGCTCCATCCTTGACCTCCTTTAGGTCTTTGCTCAACTACCATCTTCTTGGTGATAGCTTCTTCATCCATGCTCTTCCGAATTGCGGCCCCCTGCCCACCCCTCTGTATACTATCTTGTTCTATCTTTTTTTTTTCATAGCACTTGTTACCATCTGACTTCCAGTATATTTTACATTATCTGTCTCTTCTCTACTAGAATGCAAGCCCTAGGATATCAGCAACTTTTGTTAATTTTTTTGTTGTTGTTAATTTTTTTTTTTAACTGCTGTATATACCTGGGCACCTGGCTGGCTCAGTGGGTTAAGTGTCTGCCTTGGAGTCAGGTCATGATTCCAGGGTCTTGGGATGGAGCCCTTAGTCCGGCTCCCTGCTCAATGTGGAGTCTGCTTCTCCTTCTCCCTCTCCTCCCCCTGCTTGTGCTCTCTCTCTGTCTCTCAAATAAACAAATAAATATTTAAAAAATAGGGATCCCTGGGTGGCGCAGCGGTTTGGCACCTGCCTTTGGCCCAGGGCGCGATCCTGGAGACCCGGGATCGAATCCCACGGCGGGCTCCCAGTGCATGGAGCCTGCTTCTCCCTCTGCCTGTGTCTCTGCCTCTCTCTCTCTCTGTGACTATCATAAATAAATTAAAAAAAAATAAAATAAAAATAAAAAACAAACAAACAGGGGGATCCCTGGGTGGCTCAGCGGTTTAGCGCCTGCCTTTGGCCCAGGGCACGATCCTGGGGTCCCGGGATCGAGTACCATGTCGGGCTCCTGGCATGGAGCCTGCTTCTCCCTCCTCCTGTGTCTCTGCCTCTCTCTCTCTCTCTCTCTCTCTCTCTCTCTGTCTATCATAAACAAATAAATAAGTAAATCTTAAAAAAAATAAAAATAAAAAAACAAACCGGACCCTGCTATATATTCCTATCAAATGCTAACATATAGTAAGTGCTCACTAAATCTTTTTTTGAAGAACTGAATTTCTGTATATTTATATGTTTGGGTGGATGCTGGTCCATGGTTTGGCTCACATAGAATCTGAGGTACTGCGATCCCTGGGTGGCTCAGGGGTTGAGCGTCTACCTTTGGCTCAGGGTGTGATCCCAGGGGTCCTGGGATCAAATCCTGCATTGAGCTCCCTGCAGGGAGTCTGCTTCTCCCTCTGCCCGTGTCTCTGCTTCTGTTTCTCTCCTGAATAAGTGAATAAAATATTAAAAAAAAAAAAAGAATCTGAGGTACTGAGGGAAACCAGCAGAGAGGTCAGGCACTTGGGTCTGAAGCACATGATGAGTGAAGCTGTGGGAGCAGGTGACCAGCCCGGAGGAACTTGGACATGGGCAAAGGAGCCCCGTACCCCCAAATTTGCTTTTTCTTGCATTCATCTTGATGGGTGATGCCTCCACCTGCCTGGTCACCAGACAGGTACCTGAGGTCATCCTAAACTCCTCACCTCCACATCTCACCCCTCAAACAAGTTCTCTATTATTGTCTAGGTGTCCCCCAGGTCTGCCACTTGTGTCTGTACTAATAACACAGCATCCTCTCCTCCTGGCTACCATCAACAACCCAGACCATTGTTCTTCACCTTGCGGCTTAAATGGTTTTTCTAAAACACAAAATTGACCTTCTTTTTGGATCTAAAAATCATCTTTTGGGTCAGCCCAGGTGGCTCAGCAGTTTAGCGCCGCCTTCAGCCCAGGGCATGATCTTGGAGACCCGGGATCCAGTCCCACCTCAGGCTCCCTGCATGGAGCCTGCTTCTCCCTCTGCCTGTGTCTCTGCCTCTCTCTGTGTGTGTCTCTCATGAATAAATAAAATATTTTTAAAAAGAAATCCTCTTTCAGTGGGCTCCCTGCGGACCCGGGCGCCAAGTCCCAGCTCCCACCTGCCTTGCACACACATGAGCTGGCCTCCGTCTGTAAGGTCCTCTCTTGCCCCTCGGCCTGTGGGTCCCAAGGCTCAGGACCGCCTCACCCCTGCGGGCCTCTGCTCGGGACCCAGCAGAAGCGACTCCTTGGGGAGAAGGCTTTCCTGCTAGCCGCGCTCCTCCTCTGCACCCCCCAGCCCCACTACGCGCACACTCATTGTTGACACCGTTTGGCGGCCTGTCACCCACGTGGCCGGGGGCTCCTGCAGGCAGTCCTGTCGTTGCAAGGTGCCCGCGTGGGTGACTGCGGCGTCACGGAGAGGAGCCGCCAGGCAAGCCCCCGGGGGACAGAGGGGGAGCTGGGGGCCAGCCCTGGAAGCCAATGAGGGAGAGGGTGTTCCGCTGCGTCAGCGGGGCCCCGAACCGCCCTCGAGAGGAGGAGCCTGGGGTCCAGCGCAGCGCCAGCTGCCCTCGCTTCCCACCCAGGGACACGGAGCACTCTGTTCCCGGGGACCTGGCGGGTGGCAGGGCCAGGTCTCCGTCAGCGGCCCGCCCCAGGCCAGCTCCCCCTGATCCCCCGCGGCGGAGCAGAGGCGGCGGGGACGCCGACCGCGACGGATAGCCGGCGGTCAGCGGTCAGCAGCCCCGCAGAGCCGGCTCCCTTTCTGCGCAGGCGCGCCGCCCAGGCCGGGAGGGGCGGGGCTCGGACGGGTCGAGGGGCGGGGTCAGACCCCGGGCCCGCCTCCTCGAGCTCCAGTGAGCCGCCGAGTGCTGGGCACCCCAGCTATTCCAGGGGCTTCAGGTGAGCGGGGGAGGAGGGGGCGCCGAAGGATCAGGAGGCCTCCCTGGAGGTCGGGCCGTCGGTCGGGCCGCGGGTCCACCTGCCTTGCCGTCTGTCAACCGCCGCCTCCACGGAAATGGGAGAACAAAGGGAGGGGGCGGTTCTGGGGCCCCCGAGGGAATCCAGGGTCCCAGGTACCCCGCCCTGCCCGCTGACACTTTCGGTTTCTTCCTGAGTCAGAGGCGCCGCCCGAGGGACCCTGGGCCGGCGCCGGGCGCAGCTGCCTGCCTGCGTCTGCCTGTCCGTCCTTGTGTCTGCCTCTGTGTCTGTGTGGCTGTGCCCGAACTTGCCTCCACCTCTAAAACTGAGCGTCTGGGACCCCGCCATCCCGCCATCTCTCTCCCATGGCAGGTAAGTGGGCGCCGCGCTGAGAGTCCCCGTTATCCCCCCCACGGACTGGGAAGCCGGGCATCGAACACATCCTCCGGGAATGTGCTCCGACTGGCTGCGTGGGGCCCCTCCCTTCCTCCCGGGAGCCGCCGCCCTGCTCCCCCGCCCCATCTTGCTCAGCCTCTGCCCATCGCATTCTCCCCCGCAGCCCCGCAGCCCGGCCATGGCCTAAGGGGCGGCGGGGGGTGGGGGTGGGGGGCGGATGAGGCCGCGGGAAGCTTTCTGATCCCCCCTCTTCCCCTCCCCACCACAGGCTACTTGCCCCCCAAAGGGCACGCCCCTTCACCCCCGCCTCCCTACCCTGTGACCGCTGGGTACCCAGAGCCGGCGCTGCACCCCGGGCCTGGGCAGGTGCCTGTGCCTGTGCCCACCCATGTACCTGCCCCCGCGCCCGGCTTCTCTCTCTTCCCCTCGCCCGGCCCCGCAGCCCCAGGGCCTGCTGCCCCGTTCTTGCCATTGCCGGGGGTGCCTTCTGGCCTCGAATTCCTGGTGCAGGTGAGTGGAAAGGAGGGGACGGGAGCGACGAGGAGAGGACCCCGGCGTCCAGGCCAGCCAGCTAACATTGGCGCCGACCCAACTCTTTCCAGATTGATCAGATCTTGATTCACCAGAAGGCCGAGCGAGTCGAAAGTGAGTGGAAGGAGGAGTAGGTTGGGCCTCATCCTGGGGGCAGAGAGAGAGGGCCCTCGGGCAGGTGCCTGTGCCTGAGCCTCGGCCTGTCACCCCGGCAGCGCTCCTGGGCTGGGAGACCTGTAACCGGTATGAACTGCGCTCTGGGGCGGGACAGCCCCTGGGTCAGGCAGCGGAGGAGAGCAGCTGCTGTGCGCGTCTGTGCTGCGGCACCCGGCGGCCCCTGCGTGTGCGCGTGGTGGACCCCGGGGATCGTGAGGTGCTGCGCCTGCTCCGCCCCCTGCACTGTGGCTGCGGCTGCTGCCCCTGCGGCCTCCAGGAGGTGGGCGGGGAGGGCTGGGGCCAGGGAGGGGTTTGGGTGGGCGGCAGGCCGTGATGGGGAGGCCCTTGGGTGGAATCTGGACCACCCGGAATGAGGCGCGGGGTCCAGTGTGGCCCCGGTGGGCGCGGGCAGGTGGAACGCGAGGTCAGTGATGGGGGGTGACAGGGAATGGGAGGTCTTGGCAGGGCAGACGGGTGACAGAGCCCGAGCAGTGAGAGCTTGGGCCAGGGTGCCCTGGCTCGGCAGTCACCCTGTCTGCCTCCCACTACAGATGGAAGTCCAGGCTCCACCCGGCACTACCATTGGCCACGTGCTACAGACCTGGCATCCCTTCCTCCCCAAGTTCTCCATCCAGGATGCTGACCGCCGCACGGTGCTGCGCGTGGTGGGGCCCTGCTGGACGTGTGGCTGTGGCTCAGACACCAACTTCGAGGTATTGTGAATAAGGGGAGATTCCTAGGACCTTCATCAACCAAGACGGTGGCTTCTATGAATGAGGCAGGATGGCCAACACTAAGGTCCCTGAGGTCATCAGTCTGAATCCACTGTGACTCCTGTCCTGTTTCCAGTGTTCCTTCATTCAGAAAGGGTTGTCCCTGTGGTCTTAAGAAAGGAAAGCTTGGTAAAGAGGGTTTCATCGTAAGGACCAAAGCTGATTGTTACCTGCAGCCCTATGTGAAAGGGGGCAAAAAACCTAGGCTCGATTCAGGGCAAGTCCGCTGTGGGCTGGACCATGTGGCTGCTATGCATGACTTTGTGAACCCCAGACTCTGGAGTAAACAACAATTTTAATTGCTAACATCCTGTGGCTTGCCCTGCCAACCTATGATCCAGTGATGTATATCCTTGTCAACATGCATTCTATCACCAGCCTGGAGCCTGGAGCACCCAAGCGGTGACAGTTTCAGGGTGAGGCCAGGGAAGTGCTTTCATTTCTAGAAGACAAAGGCATCTCACAGACACTCGGGTTCTTTAAGAGACCATCAGCAGTGCAGATAAGGGCAAAATAACAGGTGGAAGCCCATGAATTTTCCGAGGCTTTGATGAGGTATCTGGCCTAAGCCTACTTTTAAAAATCACCTCATCTTGGTAGGTGGGTGGAGGTTCAATGATGGGAAGATCACTGGGTCTTCTGCATGGGGCCCTCCCTTGTACATAATCAGGAAGGGTCCTTATTTGGGGCTCCACTTGGGACCGCAGAGGGCTGGCTGGGAGAGGCCCTGCCTAGCTTGAGACGCGTGGGCAGGAAGTGCCACAGAGCTATGGGACAGTGGGGGAAGGGCACGGGAAGGGCATAGTTCTAACCACGGAAGAACAAGCCTAGGAAAAGGACCAGGGAATCCTGTGAATCACCACCCACAGCGGCAGGGCCTGTTGCTGCTGGACCCAGAGAGGCCGGTGGAAATCATGGTCCTCACAAACCACTGACTGCTGCCCTTTTACCCCATAGATGGGTTTGGATCCCCTTTGGATGAAGCCTGCATAACAGATTAAAGATTCCTTCCGGGAGCCACAGTCTTCCAGGAGCCTGATTGGCTGATGGAGCACAATGCCCCCCATCTCCCCGCAGCCCCCAGGCCCTTTTGACCAGGCTACTTTGTTCAGGGCACCAACTGTACCAACCATGCCTGGCAAGTACTCTGGTAATGGAAACAAAGCTAGCATGCAGCCATCCACTGTGATGAGTCCATTGTGCTTCCATTTCTCCCACCACTGATGATCAGTTCCCATGTATGGCCTCTCAAGGACAACACAACAGAGTCCAAATTCTGAGTTTTGCTATACACATGCAGCGTGACTTAGGGTAACTCAGTTTCTCCAGGTGTCACATGGAGACCTAAGGCTGTTGGAAGGATTAAGTGTACAGACTAGATGGTTAATGTGTGGTGACTGTGGGAGTGGACTGGGAGGCAAGGGAGATCAGTCCATCCCCCCCAGCTGGGTCCTGCCCCCTCCCACCCCACCAGGTGAAGACCCCGGATGAATCCCGCAGCCTAGGCCGCATCAGCAAGCAGTGGGGGGGGCTGCTCCGAGAAGCCCTCACAGATGCAGATGACTTCGGCCTGCAGTTCCCTCTGGATTTGGACGTGAGGGTGAAGGCTGTGCTGCTGGGAGCCACATTCCTCATTGTGAGTTGGCTGCCCTGCCTCCCCTCCTGCTACTCTGCTCTCACTCAAGGCTGTGTGTACTCCCTGGCTTCCAGCTCAGAGAGGGTCAGGGACAGTCTCTGGGGGCTTGCGGTGCCTGCCCTGGGTGGTGAGAGCTGAACTGGGCCAGCCCAGACACGTGTGTTGACAGCGCCCTCTCTTCAGGACTACATGTTCTTCGAGAAGCAAGGCGGTGCTGGGCCCTCAGCCATCACCAGTTAGAGGCCACCCGGGGTGAGGAGACCATCACCTCAACCAGGACCCCAAGATGGCCACCTGTCCTGGCCCCTCCTCAGAGGCAGCTCTTTCCCTCGAGGTACACCGCAAGGGACAGACAGGGGATGCCCGAGAGTCTAGGGGCCACAGTGTCCTGCCCCTTACCCTAATTCTCTGGCCTCCTTCACCTTGGCCCCCACAGAAGGGCATGTATGAGAGCCCTTCCCCTGCTACCTCCCAGCACTGTCTCTGGAGATCCCCCAGCACACTAGCATATCAGCTTTCAAACTTTCCCTGCCCTCCCCTTTCTCCCACCCCTCCTAACCTCCCCCCCCCCTGCCCGTTCCAGGGTCTCTGCTCCAGACATGGTCCTTGGAATCCAGGGCCCTGGGGTTTGCTGACAGAGCTGGGGTGGGGAAGGGTACACAGCAACCAAAGATGCCAGGTAGGACTGTGCTCTCCCCCCCGAATCAGCTTGGCCAATGAGTTCAGCCTCAGACTGTGGGGGGCTCCCCACCTCCCCGTGAACAGCTGTAGGGCCTATGCTCCGGTGCCAACTTCCTTACCCCCCTCAGGCCCTGCCCGCAGCTGGCACTTGCTGCAGCCCCTGTGCCTTACATAAGCACCCCATCCTTCCCTGCCCTAGGAAGGAGACTACATCTTTGTATGTTATATTCATATAAACTTTGTAACTTTTTGGATACTGGAAGATATATGTAATGGGAGAGAGGAGAGAGCTGGTATGGGAAGAAACCAAGGGATAGATGACGGCTGGGCTGGGTGGGGGCTGGCCTGTTTCATCATCCATGCTGCCAAGACCCAGTGTCCTTGATTTCAAGAGGGCACCTTCATCCATTATGGCCCTGGACCAAGCCAGGGCAGTCTGGGCCACGCACCCCAAGTCAGTACAGTTGCTTCTAGCATCCAAGATGGCTGCGCCCACAGAGTCCATGTGGGAGCGGAGGGCAGTTCGCAATGGCTGTTCCTGCGGTCCAGCGTGCCCGTTGGCTTGTTCTCTGTAGCAAGTGGAAGCTTCCTGCGGATGTGATGTGTGGCAGCTCTGTCCCTCCAAATTCTCTTGGTTGGGAATGTGGTAGGCAGACCAGACTAGATCTTTCTAGGAACCAGCCGAGGGAGCTGGAGCCCTCAGAGGCCCAGGGGCATAAGGGCAGGAGCCACTCGTCAGTGCGTGACCCTGGGCTCCTCCTGTTCCTGCCTAGGGCACCATCTGCCCAGGTGGGACGTTCTGCCTCCTGACAGGGCCTGTTCTGGTTCTGCTGGTCACACGCGGCCAGGCCCTTGATCCAGGCTGGTATCCAACCCCCAGGGGCAGAGCTCAGGGCCGGGCCAGGACATAGCGACTGGCAGCCGAGAGATCCCACTGGTAGTGTTCCAGAATGCGTCGGCAGTCAGCTCGGGAGCGGCTACTCAGATGGAAGAGCTGGTCCACCTGCGGAGGTGGGAGGGAGGGCGGTGGCTGCCAGAGGGCAGGGGCTGGAGGGGTGGGAACCCCAGAGAAGGGCCCGGTCTTACCTTGAGGTTCCGGATGGCAGAAAGCGCGTCTCCCCCGGTGGCCCTCAGCGCGGCCTGGCACTCCTGGTGGGTGACTCCATGCACGCTCAGCTCCACCTATGGGGCACAAAGCCTGGCTTGGCCCACCGCCCTGGCCCGGAGCCCCCTCTGGACACCAGGCCATGTTGGAAAGCCCTCACCTCCATAATCTGCCTCTGCAACTCGGAGTCTGGCGAGAGGCCTCCAGAGGGGACGGTGGCTTTGCTAGCTCCAGATGCTCCCGAGGGGTGACCGTGAGGGGGTTCTCTTTTGGGCCAGGGAGGCTGCTCCCTGGGGGGCTGGCTGGGCTGAGAAGGGCTGCAGGCAAAGGGAGGTCGGGATGGCAGGCCTGGGGGTCCCTGGGGCACAGCTCTGGCATGGCGAAGTTCGGGGGGGCTTGAACCACCCCCTGTGGGGCGGGGGCCCAGGGACAGAACGGACTCCAGACTCTTGGAAATAACTGTACAGTTGAGAGAAAAAGAGCTTGAGAGGAAGCCCGGATGTGGGGCCCTGCCTTCTCCCCTCTCTGTGGGCGACTCTCAGGGTGGCCCCCCACAAGGGGCCCAGGAAGGTGCGCTGAGCAGACGCCAGAGCCCAGGTGGCAGGAGCTGCAGGGAGAGATGAACTTCAGGAGAGCAGGCAGCTCATCTGTCAAGTCCCGGACACAGAGGTGGGGGCTCAGGACAAGGGCAGAATCGGAGGGTTCTGGATGTACTCAGAGACCGAGGAGGCCAGGTCCCCAGCGCCACACCCACCTTTCATCTTCTGCAGGGGCATGTGCCTTCTCTGGCCCCGAGCTGGAGGTAAATCCCGAAGCTTTGCCTTCCCGCGGTCCCTGGTGCAGGGAGCAATGATCACCGTCACTTTCCACGCCTCCACCCTACCCACCCACAGCAGTGTCCCCTTCCCCAGGGAACTCTGCGGGGCTCTCCCCGGGCAGGCCGAGACCCAGGCAGGAGGCTCCAGCTGGGAGGCAAGTCCTGGCCCCCTCCCTGAGCTCCCCTTCCAAAGCAGTTGCTGGGCTAGCCTCCCCCAGCCCGGCCGTGTCCCCTCAATTCTTTCGGGGGCTCACCCATCTATGTTTCCCTGGCGCCGCTCGCCCTGGGCCGGGGGGAAGACTCTGTGGAGTAGGTGGGGAGCTGGTGAGCCCCCCGAGTCTGCCAGCGTCACTGCTGAGGCTGGGAAGCTCCCCACTTTGAGGGTGCGGCCGTTCTGGCCCTTCCAGGTTGTGGAATCAGGGCTGTGGGAAGAGGGGATAGAGGGGGGCTGGCCTTGGCCCACATTTAACCCACAAGCTGTGCACACAGAGCTGCATCTGCCTGGAGGAAAGGAAGCTTCCCCCCACCCCCCACCCCTGGAACACAAAAGGGCTCTATGGGCTTGGTGGGCTCTAGTGGGAGCACTCACTCAGAGGCCCAGCGGGGAAGATGGGAGGCAGAGGGTCAGGGCTCAAGGAGCTGGGGAACAGCGCATTGGGAGCAGGTTCAGGGAGGCTAGCTGGGAGTCCTCATCCTGCGGACACGCGGGAGGCATGAGGCTCTCACCTGCCCTCGATGATGGTGACGGGGTCACCCGTCTGCATTCTTAGGGCGCCTGGCTCCATGACATCCCTCACACAACGTCCCTCGGGAGGCCAGGCCTGCAGAGACAGACGGGTAATCTCGTGGGAGCAGGAAAGGAAGGAGAGATGCTTCCCTATGTACCCACCCATCAGACCCACAGCAGTCATGGCCTGTGTCCTGGGCCCAGGATGGGACTCTGTCCCCCGCCTGTAATGCAGCAGGGGAGGCCTACCTGGAGTCCATGCCACACTGGACACAGCCCAGGGGCCAGGAAGCAATATAGAAGGGGGCCCTGTCAGTATCTAGAACCAAGGGGAGAGTCATCCCATATGCTGCTTGTGCTCCACAAGCAGTTCTGCCACCGGCCAGTGCCTCTGAAATTTTTTTATTTCTTTCCGGCCCCACTGCCTTGACCCTGAGCCAGACATCATTTCCTTCCTGCTTTGCAGCCACCCTCACCTACCTTCTCTTCCCACGTTCAGTATCCTCCCTCCCGTCCCTTCTTGCACCAAGCCAGAGTGATAGAGCATGTAAAGTTGGCTTGTCACTCCCCTGCTCAGAACCCTCCCATGGCTCCCAGGTGCCCTCAAAGTAAAGACTACACTTCAACAGCAGAGGTTAATGATTTACGGGACAGGGCTCTTAGGTCAACTGGTTCAAATCCTGACTTCTCTGCTGGCAGTGTGGAGTTAGGCAAACCACTTAAACCTTAACTGCCCCATCTGTAAAGTCCATGTAATAATGGCCTTCCTGGGTTGTGAGAATGAAGTGGGTAATCGTGCAAGAAGGATATTCTTAGTACAGTCCGGTCCACAGTTCAAGAGCCTGGTGTAAGCTCTGGTTATCTATGGTTCCTTCCATATCCCTCCCTGGGGCATCCCTGAGGTCCTGTGCTCTCTGCCCCCCGGCTGCCCGCTGACCTTATTTACCTCTGCCTGTCAAACACCTGCAGCAGCCTGCTGTGCTGTGTGCCCCCTTCCCTGGCCCAGCCCCAGCTCCTCACCGTTCAGCCTGCATCTGTGTACCCCAGCTGCCTCCCTAGGGCTCTGAGCATCCTGCAGATAGAGCCAGAATCTATAGGGCCTTCCCAGACCCCAGCCCAGGAATATGTTAGTCCTGTGCGAGGGACTGGGGCAAAAAATGGGGAAATGAGTCTGTGGGTCCATGGGGATGCAGGGGCTCCCACCTCTTGGAGCAGCCCCTCCAGGTTGGAAAAGCTAGGCCGGTCGGCTGGGTGGGGGGCCCAGCAGCGCAAGGCGAGGGCGTAGAGAGCTCTGGAGCAGAGGGGAGGCCGAGGCAGCCGGGCCCGATCCTGTTCCAGCCGCTGCAGGATGAGGTACGGGGAGAGCCTGGCCCAGGGCTCCTCGCCCCCAGAGAACATCTCCCACAGTGTCACCCCAAACATCCACACGTCCGACGCAGAAGAGAAGGCCCCCTGGCGCAGGCTCTCTGGAGCACACCTGCGGAAACGGAGCTGAACCCAGTCCCTCTCCCCCAGCCGCGATTTCCGCGGCGCCACCGCCCTCAGGGACCTCCTTCCTGAGCCCTTCCAAAAACCTCGTCCCAGCCTCCCGAGAAGGACCCTAGCTTGCCTGTGTGCCCCCGCACCGCACCTCGCGGAGCCGGCCACGGCCCTCCGGATCCGCCCTCCTCCACTCCCATCGCCCCGCCCCAGGCGGAGCCCTCACCAGGCGTAGGGGATGGGGCGGGGCCCGCCCATGATGTAGCGGCCCCGGGCACCGCGCAGCGGGCGCACCAGCCCGAAGTCGGCCACCTTGACAGTGCGCGGGGATGCCAGCAGCAGGTTGCGCGTGGCCAGGTCACGGTGCACCAGCCCCCGGGCCCCCAGGTACGCCATGGCCCCCGCCAGCTGCCGCAGGAAGAGGCAGAGCAGGGCAACGGGCAGTGGCGGTGTGGGCGGCGGGGCGGTGAGGCGCGCATGCAGGGAGCCCAGCGGCGCCAGCTCCATCACCTGCCGGGAGCCTGGGCCTGAGTCGGGGGGAGGGGGGGGAAGGGGGGACATCCCCGCTGGGCTCTGGCCGCCTGCCCTCCGGTCGCTCAGCCGCCCTGGGAGCCGCTGTCCGGCTGTGCTCACCATCTGCAGAGGCTGGCCCAGGACCAGGCCGTGTAGACGCAGCACGTGTGGGTGCTCCAAGCTCATCATGACTGACACCTCTCGAAGGAAGTCCCCCAGCTCTGTGCCCATGGGGCCTTCAGGACCCACCCGGAGGGACTTGACAGCCACGGGGACCTGGGGTGGGGGGGCACAAAGGATGCTATCTGGTACCCTAGGGAACAGCTATGCAGGCCCAGGGCAGAAGCGGCAGGCAGAACAGGGGGGCAGCTGGCCCCAGCACCCGGGATGAAGGAGGCCCCCCAGATACTCACACTCTGGCCGCTGGGCAGTGTCCATACCCCCCGGTTCACCACTCCAAAGCAGCCAGAGCCCAGCAGCTCCCCTCTGCACACAGCACTGTCTGGGATCAGACACTTGAGCCCCCCTTCCTGATCAGGGAGGGCCGGGGGGCTGTCTGAAGGTGGGATGGTCTCCTTCTGCTCGGGTGTAAATCCCCCAAGGATCTGAAGCAGGGGTGGGAAATTGAGTGTGTAGAACTCTGAGCACTCCTCCCTGACACTCGGCCCACCCCAATCTGGAGCCTGAGCTGGCCGTTTGAGTCCATCGCCCCCACCCAAAAATGCACACCTTGTATACCCAGTTTTTAGTCTTGAGTCCTGAACGGTGCCTCTTCAGAGCTTCGGCGAGTCTGCGCTGGGCTGGGGAAGGGCAGAACCAGGGGAGTGGGGTTACATGGTGGGTGGTGAGGGAAAGCGGGGGGGATGTAGAAGGATTTACAGGCAAGAAGAGGGCTGGTGTGGGGGGTACTTAGGAAGTACCAGGCTGAGGAAGAAGAGACCAGGGCTTGTGGGCAGGGGCCTCTCACCAGGCCGGCCCATGCCAATGCCGTCCAGGTCCTCGGGCCTGACAAAGTCGAAGTGCTCTGGCCGGGTAACATTAAGCTCCTCGAGGATGGGTCGGTAAAACTGGGCTAGCTGGATGTCGCGAAGCAGCCGCAGCAGCCACAGCGAGCTCGCCTCGGGGAGCATGTCTGCAGAAGGCTCCCTTGAAGGATGATGCATAGCCCATGGTAAGCACCTGAGACCCCGAGACAACAGAAACACGGCCACCAGCTCCGCCCGCCACGTGTCAGAAACACTCATGTACAGAGGGTGGGACACATCGACAGCCAGGATTCCTGCCACTCACACAAACCCCAGGAAAATGCTCCCCGGACCTGAGACCTACATGCTGTACCCACCACACACCTGTGACTTTAGCACTCTGCAGACTTCGGTGTGTTCCTCTGCTAACTCTTGATATTTGATGGCACACTGCTCCCATACACCTAGACACCCGGGTACCGCATACCTACCAGAGATGCCCAGATATGCTAACCACACCATACCTCAGCCCTGCAGACACACACGTACACTGCCTCCCACACTGGAAACGCTGCTACACACACACACACACACACACACACACACACACACACACACACATGCTGAGACCTACAGACATGCTGCAAAAGATGTCTAAGACACCCAGATACATGGCCTTTCAAGTCTGAGACATTCCAGAATGCTGCCATGAAACACCCAGGCTTACTGCCACACAACCGGTGCACTGCCTCCAAGATACACTCCTCCCCATGTCTGAGATGTCAAGGTCCACATGAATGCACAGCACACGAGACCAGCGCACCGTGCGCACACGTGCCTGGACTACACAGGCCTACTGCTCCTTAGAGCCACTGCCTAGGGTCATTGCCTTTTCTATACCTGAGACAGCAACGCTTGAAATCACATGGGGCAGCTGTGATTGGTGGTTATGTGCAGGCTGAGCAGGCTCCCAGCCTGTCTACAGAGCCTGGTGCTGTTAGGTGCACACTCCCTTCCACACCCACCTGAGCTCAGCTCCAGGTACCGCGGCCCCGCCGGCACACCTGACTCACTCGGTCTAACTTGGCTTCCTGGCAACTCCAATCTTTGCTAATTAAGGCCCGGTGCCCTGGGTGCCAGCTGCCTGCGTGACGCTCTCCCTACGCACACCTGGACCCCTCCCCCTCCCCCCACTTTAGTTTAATCAGGGGGAAGGGTTGAGCTCGGGCTTGGGCGCGGGGAGGGGCGCGGAAGGAGGAAGGCCAGGACGCAGGCCGACCCGGGACCGGGACCGCTTGCAAGGTGAGGACGGGAAAGCACGCAAAGGCGGTCGGGAGCGAAGGCGGCCGCAGAAGGGAGAGAGCGGCCGGCGGGGGGGAGGCAGGGGAGACGAACAGGGGCCGCGAACGTACCTCAAGCGGCGGCTGCCCGGCCAGGCCCGGTCCCTGGCGGCCCCGCTCCCTTGGACCCTCACCTGGCGAAGGCGGAAGCGGCGGTTACGGAGCCGCCCTGGCCGCCAGCCCTAAATCCCAGGGAGGGTGGGGCCGCAGGCCGAGGGGCGGGGCCAGGGGCCGGGGGCGGGGCCTGGCGACAGTCCAGGTGGGCCCGCGCCACGCCCCCCCGCCCCCCCCCTCCTGGCAGGCACTCAGATCTCGCCTGGCCTGCCCTCTTCCCCTCAGCCAGATCCCGAGAACCTGTTCTCCCTTCTTTTCCTTCTTTCCTCCTCCACACCCTCTTTCCTGCCTCTTTCTTTCTTTTTTAGGTTTGTATTTATTTATTCACGAGAGACACAGGCAGAGGGAGAAGCAGGCTCCATGCAGGGAGCCCAACAAGGGACTTATCTTATAGGACCCCGGGGTCACGCCCTGAGCTGGAGGCAGACGCTCACCCGCTGAGCTACCCAGGCGTCCGTCCTGCCTCTTTCAAAGAATCTTTCAGCCCTTACAGGCTTCCTCCTGGGTGTCCTGTCCCCTGTGACCCCCTCTTACCAAATCTTTCATCTCCCTTGGCCAGAGCCCCACCCCTGAGATGAATAAGCACCAGATTGAGTATGCTGCCCAGGCCCTGGGAATAGAAGGCTAAACAGGACATCGTCCCTGCTCCCTGGCAGGGGAGACAGTACCCTAGCCCTCCTATGGAGGAAGGCTGGGTGGCACAGGGCACTCTGAAATGGAGCCAGGACATGGAGGTGTTGCTGGTGCAGGAAGTCAGCCCCCAGCCTAGACAGAGTCTCAGATTGGAGCCGTTGTTGGTTCCCGGCTCCCAACGTTGGTCCAATGTGCTGCTGCAGGAAGGGATCTTATGGAAATCTCCCCAGGGTAGACCACGTGGGAGATATGAGTGGGCTCCTAAGCCCCATCCCCACTTGGTACCTGGCCTTGGTGGTCAAGGACAGCACCCCATGCTTCAGGGCGCCCCTCCCCATCACTGGCATTTACCTGGCCTCATTCTGACCCAACCCTCCTTCCCTCACATACACTACTTCCTTCTGTACACTGCTACCTGGACGGTGGCCACAGGGCAAAGTCCAGAACCTCAGAGAAGGCTCTGAGGAGGAGCATCCCTCTCCCTTTCCCTCAGGGGTCCCAGGGAGGAAGTCACCAGTCTTAGGACATCTGTCCTGTCTCCTTCTGTCCCAAGGAAGGATGTGTGATCTGTCCCCAGAGTCCCTTGGAGGAAAAAGCCTACTCCTTCTTAGTAAACACAAGGGATATTCCAGCACTGATGGGAAATTTTTCATAGTTCACAGTTCTACCTGTTTGGTTTCCTTGCCAATTCTCTTGCCCTCCAATGAGGCCAGTGCATCACAATATTAATTGCTCCCTCCACATCTGTCATCCCTGACAGACTGTGGGCTCCATAGAGTGGGGGCTGGATCTGTATTGGTCATCCTGGTTCTTAGTACCTGGGACAGTGTAGGCAGGTAATAGGTGCAGTGCATATTATTTGTAAAGGAATCTGCTTAGGGGGGATCCCTGGGTGGCTCAGCAGTTTAACGCCTGCCTTTGGCCCAGGGCGTGATCCTGGAGTCCCAGGATCGAGTCCCACATTGGGCTCCCTGCATGGAGCCTGCTTCTCCCTCTGCCTGTGTCTCTGCTTCTCTCGCTCTCTATGCCTCTCATGAATAAATAAACAAAATCTTTAAAAAAAAAAAGAAAAGAAATCTGCTTAGGGGATGCCTGGGTGGCTCAGTCCATGAAGCATCTGCCTGTGGCTCAGGTCATGACCCTGAGGTCCTGGGATCGAGCCCCACATTGGGCTCCCTGCTTGGCAGGGGGTCTGCTTCTCCCTCTCCCTCTGACCCTTCCTTCTGCTCATGTCTTCTCTCTCTCACTCACAAATAAATAAAAATTAAATTAAATAAAGAATCTGCTCAGTGTAATTATCATTCCTCTGTAGGTGATCTGTCTTTTCTCCCTGCTTTTAAGATATCATTGGTCTTTTTTATTTTATTTATTTATTTATTTATTTATTTATTTATTTATTTATGATAGTCACAGAGAGAGAGAGAGAGAGGCAGAGACACAGGCAGAGGGAGAAGCAGGCTCCATGCACCGGGAGCCCGATGTGGGACTCGATCCCGGGTCTCCAGGATCGCGCCCTGGGCCAAAGGCAGGCGCCAAACCGCTGTGCCACCCAGGGATCCCTCATTGGTCTTTTGTAGTTCTATTGTCAGTTATCTAGGTATCAAATATCTAGGATTCTTTTTTACTTATTCTGATTGGTATATTGTATTTTCTGTATCTATGAATTCATGTCTTTCATCAGTTTTAGAAAATTCTCGGCTAGTATCTTCTCAAATATTATTTTTCCTCCATTCTTTGGTTCTTTTGGGGACTCTGATTAGAAGTATGCTAAACCTTTTCACTCCGTCCTCCATGTTATTTAAGCTCTCTTCTGTATCTTTCAATCTATGTGTCACTGTGATGCAATCCACATCATCTCCCTAGGCATATCTTCTAGTTCACCAATTCTTTCTTTGGTTATGTCTGATGTGCTGTTTAATCCATACACTGGGGCAGGGGGTGTTTGTCATTGTATTCATTTGAACATTACGATACTCTGCATGCTGATATTACTTTATGGAGGTATAATTTTCATTCAGTAAGACACTCAGATTTAACTGTAGAGCTCAATGCATTTCTTTCTCCTTTGTAAGATTTTTATTTATTTTTTTGAGAGAGAGAAAGAGCATGAGCAGAGGGAGGGGGAGGGATCCCAGGACCCCAGGAACATGATCTGAGGCAAAGGCAGACACATAACCACTGAGCCACACAGGCATCCCTCACATAATGTTTGTAATTCCATTTGGCTTCTTTGATTCAACACCTTTTTGAGATTCGTCTTGGGGTTGTCCAAGTCCTTGGCAGGAATCATATGGCTCCATGAGCTTCTTTGGGGGAAGAGCATGTGACATCTGATTTTTCTCTGAATGTCCAGTGTCTTCGCAGATCAGGGTGCACTAGAGGTCCTCTTGGAACTGAACACATGAGTGTAGAGCCCGTGAGGATATATGAAGGCAGATGCAGCCAGAGAGGTTGGCAGAAGCCAGACCAAGGCATCAATTCATTCTTCAACAAGCTTTCACTGCCCCAGGTTCTGGGGACCCAGGCGAACAAACAGACATGATCCTTGCTCCAGCTGGATTCACGCTACAGGGTCTTGGAGAACATAGTCAGGAGCGTGGACCCTACCTGAAGGCTCTGGTAACCACAGAAAGATTTTAGGAGAGGAGTGGCAGGACTAGCCTGCTGCAGTGACAAGCTGGGAAGAGGGAAGAGAGAAGGGGCAGGGAGCCCAGAGAACAGACTCTTCCCATTGGTCCAGGAGAGGGAGGCTGGCCCTGCTTAGGCCTTGGCAACAGGAAGGAGAGGAGGTGAAGATAGGGTGCATTATCAACTGGACTCTGGGCTGAGATCTTCTATGCTCCAGCAGGAAACCAAACACAGAGATTTTCCAGCAGGAAACCGGACGCAGAGGCTCAGCCCCACCTTCGTCTTTAGCTTGGAAAAAATCCGGGGAATAAAAGTCCTCTTTATTGCTCCCTTCCTCCCTATTCATTTCATACTTCTGGAGTAAGGTGGGAGGAAGCACGGCCTAAGCACCCTTGGGGAGTACTCCTTCTAAGCTGAGATAGGGCATCCTGCTAACCTAGAGGCTGAGATCGGGCATCAGTCCCACTCTGTCTGCCATTCGCCAACCTCTGCCTTGCCCTGAGGGCTCTGCATCCGAGAAGGATGAGCACATTCACACCACATAGCCAAGTCTTTCCTCACAGGACAGGGAACCAGAAGGGTAAACAGAGAGGCCCCCTGGTATCTTCCCCATCTATTGCCTTGGGTTTGAGTGGAGGGTTTCCCTCTGCAGAAAACTCTCCTCTCCTATTGGGAGCCAGATTAGTGCCCCCTTAGGTCCTCCTTTCCTGTTCCAGTCCCTGAGATCATGGGGCTCTCCCCTGCCATCTTGCCTATGCCAACCTTTCAACAGGGGAAAGTACCTCTCTCCCTCTGGGCCTTCCTGTGGCTGTTCCCACTGCTTGGAATTCCTCCCACCCTTATCCCAACCTGGCTAAGTGCAGGAAGCCTCTCCCTCCCTGGTCAGGCCCATTCCCCTGAACCCCAAGATCCCTGTGCTTTCCCGTTATTGCACTCATTGTTCTTGTAGAAACTGCCAGTAACTCGTCTGTCTCCCCTGCTAGATTCTAAGCTCCAGGCAGAAAAAGACTTTATCTTGGGATCCCTGGGTGGTGCAGTGGTTTAGCACCTGCCTTTGGCCCAGGGCACGATCCTGGAGACCCGGGATCGAATCCCACGGCGGGCTCCCAGTGCATGGAGCCTGCTTCTCCCTCTGCCTGTGTCTCTGCCTTTCTCTCTCTCTGTGTGTGACTATCATAAATAAATAAAAATTTTAAAAAAATGAAATAAATTTATTAAAAAATAAAAGACTTTATCTTGCTTGGGTATTGCTGTGTCCATTCTGCCCAGTCTAGTCTAGTGTCTAGCTCATGTGATAAGTGCTCAGTAACTTTTGATGAACATATAGGTGAGACTGCATCATGTGGGCTGGGTGAAGCCAATGAGATTTTTCGACATCAGGAGCTCCTTTGCTGGGAGTGATGTGGATGGGAGTGCCCGAACCTCACCATAAGCATTCTCTGGCAAACCCATCCTTATGCCTCTCCCTGTTTGGCCCCACATGGTTGGCTCTTTATAGACCCTTGGGTGAAATCCTCCTGTCCCATCACCCTATGCCCACCCCACCATCTCGTGGGGTCCCATCCTTTCCCAGTTTGGATTTGCCTCGCTAGTTTTTAGAGTCACCAGCCCACCATCCTGTATGTATCTGTTGGTTTGCTTTCCGAAGTGGAAGCACTCCTAAATCCACTCTATTCCTTCAGGGAGGACTGATCTGGGTAATCAGAGGGATATTGCAGAAAAGATGGTGACTTCCGAGCAAGCTCATATACGACAATGTGGCTCCTGCCTTCCCCCCTCAAACTCCTCACTCTGGGGAAGCCCAGCCACCAAG